TTTTATTAATTAAATTTAATTTAAAATTAAAAAAAAAAAACAAAGAGATCTCATGCTTGATATCTAGCACTTAGGAGGTGGAGGTGAAGGATCCAGGACTTCAAGACCAGCCTGAGCTACATACCAAATTCAAGACCAGCCTAAGCTATATAAAATTCTGTTTCAGCCCTACCCTGTGCCCCTAAAAAAAATCCAGCCAATCCAGAGAACAGTCTCACTACACCATAAACAAGTAGTCAAGCGAGCTACAATAAATTATCTCATACATTCTGGCAATTCTTTTTGTCTCTGAAATATAAAGTAGTACATTAACATAAGTTACAAAACTAAATTTTCCTCAACTATGATTGGTACAATTAGTACAAAGTTGAAACAAGCATTTTATTATATAAAATATGAGACAAAGAAACATTTAGTCACAAAACAAATCTTTTTTATCAAAAAAGTATAAAGTTTCAAAACCAAGCCTGGTGGAGAGGTGGAAGCAGGAGAATCTAGAGTTCAAAGTAGCTACATAGTGAGTTAGAGGCTAGCCTGGGATGTACAAGACCCTGTCTCAAAAAAACAAAAAACAACAAAAAAAACCTGTGAAGTTTCTCAAGCCTCAACTCCAAGTATTTAGGACTCATCAGCTCATACAGACTTTATTTCCTTGACCACTTCCACAAGCCAACTTGAGAACATTTTCATCCTCCAGAAAGAAATGCAGCTATGGTAGAGGCAGAACTCAGCAGTACAGTACATGTGTAATGCCCTGGATTCAACCACAGCACCAGGAGAAAAACAAAAACAATTCCATCAAAAAAAAAAACAAAACAAAACCAATTTTTTTTTTTTTTTTTTTTTAATACAGGATCTCAGTATGTAGCCCCAGGCTCGCCTTGCAATCTATTTATTTTATTATTTTAAAAAACATTTTATTATTTTTATTTTATGGGTACAACATTTTATTATTTTTATTTTATGTGTACAAGTGTATTGCCTGCAAGTATGTGAGTGCACCCGTGTTGTGCAATGCTGTTGAGATCAGAAGATTTCTCTGGAACTGGAGTTAAGTATGGTTTGTAGCCGCCGCCATGTGGATGCTGGGGATCGAACCCGGGTCCTCTGCAAGAGCACTCAGTGCTCTTAACCACTGAGCCATCTCTCCAGCCCTATTTTTTATTTTTTTTAAAGGCTTGTTTATTGACAATATATATATATCTCCAGATATTTTATATGTAATACATACTGCTTGTTAACCAGTTGTGCCACTGGAACTCATGGACATTTTTTTTCTTTTTCTTTTTTTTTTTTTGGTCTTTTTGAGACAGGGTCTCCCTGTAGCCCCAACTGGCCTGGAACTCACTATGTAGACCAGGTTGGCCTTGAACTCACAAAGATCCACCTGCCTCTGCCTCACAAGTGCTGGGTTTAAAGGTGTACGCCACCATGCCTGGCTCTTCTTTCTTTTTAAAATTTTATTTTAATTCATTATTATTACTATTACTATTATTATTATTATTGGTCTTTTTGAGACAGGGTCTCCCTGTAGCCCCAGCTGTCCTGGAACTCACTAGGTAGACGAGGCTGGCTTTGAACTCACAGAGATTCACCTGTTTCTGCCTCCCAAGTGCTGGGATGAAAGGTGTGCGAGACCACGCCCGGCTTCTCCAAGTGTTTTTAAATCCATTTTGTTGGAAGTGGCCCTGGCGTGTGGCCTTCAAACCAGCGGGCTTTCCCGGCTCACCACAGCCCTGAGTCTCACCTCCCTGAAGCCTGTGGCCTTTAACTAGGAAGCCAGTTGAGCCTCAGCAGGGGGTAACAGAAGGAGGACAGCGCCTCGCGCCACGCTCAGATCCGCCCATTTCCGCTCACCCCGTTGCGCCCGAGGTTCCACCACATCCCCGCCATTTCATTGGCTCTGGGAACCGGCCCCTGGAATACCTGCTCCGGATTGGCGAGCTCCGCCGCCTCTCGTGCTTCTTCCGGGGGCGGGGGCCGGGCGTGACTACGCCCCTTACGTGGGGACGCTCAGTGGGCCTCAGGAGGTGCGGTGATCCCTGCCTCACAGAAGGAAGTAGGTCCGTTGTGTGAGGAAGCTGCTATGGTGTGGCGTTCCTCGGCAGAGCCGAGGCGGTGGCGGCCATGAAGGTGAGGGGCTGGTGGAGCTGGGTTGGCTCTCCTCGCCTCTTCCAACCTCCCAGAGTACCTCTTCTTTCTCCTCAGCGGTTGGCCAAGCGGGGTCCTGAGAGACCTCCGCGGGGGGTCGCCCGGCTAGGCGAGTGGAACCGGATCGGTTCTAGCCGGTTCCCCGCCCGGCGTGCCCGACGGGGAGGGGGACGCGGTGGGGCTGCGGCGGTCACAGCCTGCTGGGCCAGGGCCCAGTGCGTCTCCTCTCGGGAGGCTCAGTCCTGGGTACCTCTGCCTCCCCGAGTCCTTGAACTAACCCCGACGTCGGGCATGTCACGAGACCGAAGGTCGAGAGCGGTACGGGGAGTGATGCGGATGGGCCGGACTAGCGGTTCGGAAATGTCGGGGGCTGGGATCCTCCTCCGAGGAGCGGGCGCTGGGCCTCAGCGTGGTGGCGGTGACCTGGCGCGCCAGCGTCCGCTTCGCCACTGCGGTGCTCCCTGGTGGGAGGTGAGCGTGGGAGCATCCCTGCGAAGTTGACCACGAGGGCCCGGGGTGTGTGTCACTCTGGCCTACTTTGGGGAGATGACGTTTCTCAACTTGGTCACAGAGTGCGAAAGAGTTCTGTGTGAAGCAGTCAATTCAGGTATTGATCATTTGCCCAATGCAGACCAAGTGGGATGCATAAGGTGTCTATGCTCTCCTCCAGATAAACACGGTTGTATTAATCTCGTTGGAGAAGTGTGTTGGGTGTGGGTGAAGAAAATGAGCGGGCGACTAGATTACCTTTGCAAAGTGTCAAAAATTGATTATGGAAGATTGAAAGAAGTGGCTAGAGAAATTCAAATATTTTGTCCATCACCTTTGTATTAGTCAAGCGGGAGGCATGGAGTAGAAATAATTCAAAATAACAATCCCAGTCTCTTTTTTTTTTTTCTTGTCTTTTTGAGACAGGGTCTTTGTAGCCCCAGCTGCCCTGGAACTCACTATGTAGACCAGGCTGGCCTTGAACTCACAGAGATCCACCTGCCTCTGCCTCCCAAGTGCTGGGGTTAAAGGCGTGGGATACCACGCCCGGCTAATCCCAGTCTCGTAAAACGGGGTTTACTAGTCAAAAGAGACAAGCCGGGTGTGGTGGTGCAAACCTGTAACCAGCACTTGGTAGGGGGAGGCAAAGGTGCCAAAAAGGGGAAGAAACAACAGCAACAAAAAGCAAAACCCTCAGAAGCAAGGAAAAAAGGTACCTCCATTGTTGCACACCTGTAACCCCAGCATTTCAGGAGGTGGAGACTGGAGGAAGAGCAATTAGGAGCTGAAGCTAGTCTGGCTACATAGCAAGTTTGAGGCCAGTCTGCACTACTTGAGACCCTATCTCAGCCAACTCCCTGGCTGCTGAAAGCAAGGGAGAATTTTGGAATACATAACTTCGTTTTGAGATCAGGTCTTGTATCCCTGATAGGCCTGGAACTGATGGAGACCAGGGTGTCCTTGAACTATGGGTGATCTTTCTGCCTTTGCCTCCTGAATGCTTGGATTACAAATGCTCTGGAATGGGTAACTTTGGAATTGGGTCTTGAAGTATGAAGATAATGTGAGAGTTTATTTTTAAATTTGCAGTTATAAAATATTTCTGTAACTTTAAAATACCTAGAAGTAGCTATTTCCTGAAAATCATCATCTTTGCTGTGAGATCCAAAAGCAAGCAGAGTCTTTATAGTACCTCAAAGCATGTCCTTATTAATACTAAATTTATGGCCCATCAGAGAGCTAGATATGGAAGGAGAGTTGAGGATAGGTACAGTGCCCACATTTAAAAAAAAAAGAAAAACGCCAGGCGTGGTGGCTCATGCCTTTAATCCTGGCACTTGGGAGGCAGAGGCAGGCGGATCTTTGTGAGTTAGAGGCTAGCCTGGTCTTACATAGTGAGTTCCAGGACAGCTGGGGCTACAGGGAAACTGTCTCAAAAAGACAAAAAAAAAAACCTCATATGCATGTAGGTAAGTGCACCTGTGTTGCAATGCCTGTGAGGACAGAAGAGGCTGGGATCCCCTGGAACTGGAGTTACAGTTGTTAGCAGCCATGTGGGTGCTGGGATTTGAACCTAGATCTTCTATAAGAACAGCCAGTGTTCTTAACCACTGAGCCATCTCTCCAGCCCCTAGTGCCCAAATTTTAAATAAGTTATTTAAATACAAGTGATTTTTGTATTTAAGTGAGAGGTAACTGCTATTTGGTCCTTTTGAGACAGGGTCTCCCTGTAGCCCCAGCTATGTAGACCAGGCTGGCCTTGTAGACCAGGCTTGCCTCTAACGCACAGAGATTGGCCTGCCTCTTGCCTCCCAAGAAGTGCTGGGATTTTTTTTTGGTCTTTTTGAGACAGGGTCTCCCTGTAGTCCCAGCTGTCCTGGAACTCACTATGTAGACCAGGCTGGCCTCGAACTCACAAAGATCTGCCTTCTGCCTCCTGAGTGCTGGGATTGAAGGTGTGCCCATCATGCCCAAACCCTGAAGTTTTATTTTTATATGTATGAGTTTTTCGTGTGCTTGTAAGTGTACCACATATGTGCACTGCCCATGGAAGCCAGAAGAGTGTGTTGGATCCTTGGAACTGGAGTTAAATGGTTGTTAGCTGCTATATGTTTGCTGAGAACTGAACCTAGTTCTTCTACAAGAGCAGCCAGTGAGTGTTCTTAACTGCTGAGCCATCTCTCCAGCCCTCAGCAAGTGCTTTTAAACTCTTAAGCTATCTCTAGCCTCTCTTGATTATACTTGTATGTTTAAAATCCTAATTTGTGATTTGTGTTTATTTGATTTACTCCTTTCCTGTTTTTCTATATTTACATTGATTTTACCCTTAATTATGTTAATCATGTTATGTTAATCATGTTCAAACTCAAAATGAGATCCCAAGGAGAAAAGATCATGTATTCCATTTTTAGTTTTTTAAAGCTATTTATATTTTTTAAATGTTTGTTTTGCCTTCATGTATGTAAGTGCACCCATTTCATGCATTGGCTGCAGAGGCCATAAAAAGGTGTCAGATCCCCTGGAGCTGGAGTTACTGACAGTTCTTAGTCACCATATGAGTGCTGGTAACAGAGCCCTGGTATGCCCAGAACCCACATGGTGGCTAACAACTATCTGTAGCTCCAGTTCTAGGGGATCTGATGCCCTCTTCTGACCTCCTTGGGCTTTGCACAACACAGCTACACTTACATACATGTAGACAGTACACTCGTACACATGAAATAAAAATAAATAAAAGCTGACCAAGGTGGCACATGCCTTTAATCCCAGTACTGGGGAGGCAGAGGCAGACAGATCTCTGTGAGTCCAAGGCCAGCCAAGGCCATAGCTAGGGCTATGGGGAGACCTTGTCTTAAAAAGACCAAAAAATAAATAATAAAGTATTTGGCAGCAAAGTAGACTCTTAGGAGATTATGTTATTTCTGTTCACCTAGTTTAATTAAATTAACTAAATTACTAAATTATTAAATTAACTAAATGACTTAAATCATTTAGTTTTCTATTGTTTTCATACTCATCTACAACTCTGTCCACTATCCATTATCCCTCCCCCTTCCCTTGGAGATTTCACACAAGAAAACAGGAAATAAAAGTAAAGAACAAGTCAACAGATTTCTGTAAAAGAAAGAAAGCAACTGCTTTGAGAAACTAAATTAAACTGTTAAAACCTCAGCTGAACCTTTCTCAGAGTATTGGAGGAACTGTAGAGGGAAGTAAAACACTAGAAGCATGTCAGCCTTCTATACAAGAGTATGTAGACAAGTTTTGGGGGAGTTATATGACTGAGATGTTGGTCCTAGAGTTCTAAAGGCCCCAATTTCAGAAGAAACTGCACAGCCCCTCCTCAGAAATTCTGGAGGGTGACTTTCTAGCTGCAATGATATAGGCAGGAAGGAGGAATCTTCACTCAGACCAAGAAGGCCTTGATCTTGTAACTTGACTGTTACTTGGGAGTTTATTATTTTGCTGCCCAGGCTGTACCCTGGACTAGCTCTGGGGCTGAGACCCAAGCATCAGTATTAAAATTTTTATTTTTATTTATTTATTATTTATTTATTTAATTTATTTGTATTTTATGTGTATGAGTGTATTGCCTGCATGTATATGAGTGTACCTATGTCGTGCAATGCCATGGAGATCAGCCGAGGGCTTCGGATTCCTCTAGAACTGGAGTTAAGGACAGTTCGTAGCCACCATGTGGGTGCTGGGAATCAAACCCGGGTCCCCTGCAAGAGCAGTCAGTGCTCTTAAACCGCTGAGCCATCTCTCCTGGCCCCTTAAATTATTTTTTAAATTTCATTTGTTTTGTGTATATACATGTGTGTACTCAAGCACCCTCATGTGCCACAGCACTTCTCTGGGGGTCAGAGGACAACTTGTTGGAGTTGGTTCTTTCCATCTACCATGTGTGTCTCTTGGATCAACTCAGGGTGGGAGGCTTAGTGGCAAGTGCTATTACCCACCATCTTGCTGGCCTAGGCAGTATGTTTAAAAGCTTTCTGATGAGTTTAACTTGCAGCCAAGGTAGAGAACCACTGTCTCTGCAGCAGTTTCACAGGTCCAGGCAATTCCTTAGCAAGAGGTAGTTAACAGCAGCCACCAAGCCACTAAAGCCACCCGCCCCCAAGAAACCGGGAAGGTCAAATTATTAAAATCACTTTCACTTCGGTATCAGCGTATCAGAAAACGGGCCTAATAGGGAAGTGAAAATTAGGTTTTTCACATACTCTGGTTGGGAAAGAAAGATAATTCATATAGAACTAGTGACTGTGTCCAGCCCTGTTTGAACTTTCTGAACTGTCAAGTAGGCTGGAATACTGCTACTCTCAAGAGAGGGTGCATTGTGGGTTTACCAGTTCAGTATATGCTGTTAAAAGTATTTCTTACTGATATGTTTTCTTTTTTAAGCTTTGTGTATGAATCTTTTTGTTTTTTGAGACAGGATCTCACTATGTAGCCCTGACTAGCCTGGAATTCTAGACCAGGCTCACCTCCAACTCAGAGATCCACAAGGATTAAAGGCATGTGTCACCACATCTGGTATGTATGTAAGTGCACCTACCTGTATTATGCAGTGCCCAAGGAGGTCAGAAGAGGGTGTGGATCCCCTGGAACTAGAGTTGCAGACTGTTGTTAGTCCATACCATGTGGGTGCTGGGAAACAAACCCAGGTCCTCTGCAGGAGCATTCGGTGCCCTTAATCGCTGAGCCATCTCTCCAGCCAGTAGATCTATTTTCTTATTGAAAGCCTTTGATCAAAATTAAGGTCACAGATCTAATGGGGCTGCAAACTGGATTTTCTACTGTTTTTTATTTCCTTCTGCTATGGTTTTTGGCTGAAAATAGTAATATGGAACTGAATGAATTATACTAAGTAGGGTTTTAGCAACTTTTTTTTTTTTTGGTCTTTTTGAGACAGGGTCTCCCTGTAGTCCTAGCTGTCCTGGAACTCACTATGTAGACCAAGCTGGCCTTGAACTCACAGGGATCTGCCTGCCTCTGCCTCCCGAGTGCTGGGATCAAAGGTGTGTGACAGCACGCCCGCTGAATCTTTTTTCTTAAATGAACAATGACTCTGTTAGTCTGGCTTCTCTTGCTTTTATGTTTAAGCAAACCGCGGCTCTAGAGTCGAAGGCATGAGCTATTATTTTACTTGTCTTTCAAAGGTATCACTGTCTTTTGAGAATTAGAGGATATGAAGCCATATAGTATCTAAATCAGTGACCATAACACTTAAAGACTGTGTGAACCTTGTGTTGTAGTTACTGTCTCCTTTTCCTGCACTTAGCATACTACTACTGGTTAGTGGCAAGAATAGCATTTTTATTAATATTCTAGATTGCCTTTTACATTACCCCCCAAGCTTGTTGGGAAAATACTTAATATTTCACAGATAAAATAAACTGTGGTATTATGTATAAAACTGCCATTTTAGCTTAATACCTCACTTATTTCAACTTCCATTACCTCTCACATTTTCTAGACTCCAGAATATGCATAAGAAGTAGGACATACCAGGCATGTTTGGGTATGCATTTAATCCCAGCATTCCAGAGGCAGGCAGATCTCTGGATATCTGTTAGACTGAGGCCAGCCTGGTGTATCTAGTGAGTTCCAGGCCAGCTGGGGCTACAGGAAAACCCTGTCTCAGAAAGACAAAAAAATAAATAAAAGAAGTAGGACATGGGGCAAAAACCTACTGGTCCTAAACACTGCCCCTTTTATACTAAAATAATGGAAAAATGCCTTTGGCCTTGCATTTGAAACTATATCTGCTTCTGACAGGCTTTGTTACATATTTCTGAGACTAATAAAAAAGGAGATAGAGGGGCTGCAGCTGTAGCTCTGTGGTACAGCGCTTGCCAAGCTGGGTTCCATTTCTAAAATAAATTATTAGAGTTAGGTATAGTGGTAACCATGATGGCTCATACAGAATAAAGAGTCAAGGAGAGCTGGGCATGGTGGCTCACCCCTTTAATCCCAGCACTCAGGAGGTAGAGGCAGGTGAATCTCTGTGAGATCAAGGCCAGCCTGGTTTACATAACAAGTTCCAGGCTAAATGTGGCCTCAGGAAGACCCTGTCTCAAAAAACCAAAAGCATAATAAACCCTGAAAGAAAATACCTTGTTGTGGAATCTGGTGGAGAGGTAAATAGCCTTTATACCTTGTGAGGTACTCAGGCTTTTTAGTCCTTGGAAATTATGTTTTATTAGTGGTTTTGGTTTGAAAAGGTAGAATAATTACTGTCTTAAAAGCTTTCCTTGGCTGGAGACATGGCTCAGTGGTTAAGAACACTGGTTGTTTTTGCAGAAGACCCGGGTTTGAATCCCAACACCCACATGGCAGCTAACAACTGTCTGTAAGTCCAGTTCCAGGGGATCCAACAGTCTCTTCTGATCTCCTTGGGCATTGCACAACATGGGTGCACTTAACTTCACGAAGGCAATACACGCATACACATAAAATAAAAATTAAAAAAAAGCTTTCCTTGGGGATGGCTCAGCAGTTAAGAGCACTGACTGCTTTTGCAGAGTACCGTGGTTCAATTCCCAACACCCACATGGTTGGCTACAAACCGTCCTTAACTCCAGTTCCAGGGGAATCTGAAGCCCTCTTCTAACCTCCGAGGCATTGCACAATAGGGATGCAATAAAATAAAATAATAAATTTTTTTTTTTTAAAAGTTTTTCTGCTGGGCCTGGTGGTGCACACCTTTAATCCCAGCACTTGGGAGGCAGAGGCAGGTGGATCTCTGTGAGCTCAAGGCCAGCCTGGTGTACATAGTAAGTTCCAGGACAGCTGGGGCTGCAAGGAGACCCTGTCTCAAAAAAGAAAAAAAAAAGTTTTCCTTAATGGGGCTGGAGAGATGGCTCAGAGGCTAAGAACACTGACTGCTCTTGCAGAAGACCCAGGATCAAATCCCAGCACCCACGTGGCAGCTAATAACTATTCGTAATTCCAGTTCCAGGGGCTCAGACAACCTCTTCTGTCCTCCAGCAGGCAAGATTTGCAGGAAGCTTTGCACGACACAGGTGCACTTACCTACATGTAGGCAATACACATACACACGTAAAATAAAAATAATAAAAAAAGCTTTCCTTAATGTCAAATTAATATATTCTTTATAAAGAATTTGGGAAGCAGAGAAAAACCTCAAAAAGGAAAATAAATACAAGAGATACATTAAAATCTAGAGTGCTTCTGGCAAGACCCTGTTTTTTAAATTTTTTTTCCCAGTGCTCACATGCGGTTTAAGTGTGGGGAGGGGAAACAGCATCAAGAGAAGCATTTTTACCAAGTTGTATTAAAAATGACACACAATCTAGACACAGTTCTTTTACACTGACAGTTGCAGTAAGTTCTAGAATCTGAGCAGCAATTTGAATCTTTTCTTAGAAAACATAGTGCCTGGTACGATCCACACGGTCAAGGCTGGTCTGGAACTCACTATGTAGACCAGGCTGGTCTCAAAATCACTTGTCTCCCAAGTAATGAGATTTAAGGTGTGTGCTACCATACCTGGCTAAAGAAAAATACAAACAAAAATCTTTATTATTATTTTTGTTTAACCAGAAATGCCATGCTTGGGACTGAGAAGTGCTTCAGGTTTTAGAGATTTTGTGGATTTTGGAATATTTGCATGGACTTCACCTGCTCCAAAATCTGAAGCTTTTTTTTAAAAACAAAAAAAAACAGGGTCTATGCATGTAGCCCTGGCTGGCCTGGAACTCACTGTATAAAACAGGCTGGCCTCAAACTCACAAAGATCTGCCTTCTGTTTCCCAAGTGCTGGGACTAAAGGCATGCTGCACCATTGGGTCAGAATCTGAAGCTTTTTTAAAAGCGTGTTCATTGTGCATTAGAGATGTTTATCTTGTGATCTTAGAGTTATTCAGGGCAAACTTCTGAAGAATGGCATTCTCTGAGAGTCCTAGACAGCCTATGTTCCAATTGGCTTTAAACTTGGCACTTGTGTTTCCTTTCAGGCGGGTGCTACCTCTATGTGGGCTTCATGCTGTGGGCTGCTGAACGAAGTCATGGGAACTGGAGCTGTCAGGGGCCAGCAGGCAGGATTTGCAGGAGGCACTGGCCCATTCAGATTTACACCAAGCTCTGACTTCTCTACCTACCCATCAGCAGCTACTGAAGGGCCCAACATAGTTTGCAAAGCCTGTGGGCTTTCATTTTCAGTCTTTAGAAAGAAGGTGAGTTGGTGAAATGTTACATATAAATGACATGTGGGAAAACAAAACAAAAAGACAACATGGGTCATAATTCTTGGTTGTAGGTTATTTTCAATAGCTAACAAACCATTTTATAAAAATATTAAAAGTTGCCAGGCATGGTGGTGCACACCTTTGATCCTAGCACTTGGGAGGCAGAGCCAGGTGGATCTCTGTGAGTTCAAGACTAGCCTGGTCTAGATAGCAAGTTCCAGGCCAGCTGGGGCTATAGGGAGACCCTGTCTCAAAAAGACAAAAAAATTAAAAATTGGTCTTGTTAATTATTCTTCATTAGGAAAACTGTGCAGTAGAAGGGATTCTATTCCTGTCACGTCTTCTGCATCAACATTGCTGCTTCTCGTGCTGTGCAGGCATCTTTGCTCCTGAACTCTGCTACTCCTGATGATACTCATTTTGAAGCAAGAGATTTAATTGCAGTGCAGTTTTATTCAGAGATTGTTTATTGTACCAGTGTTACCAAGTTTCAAAAAAATTTGTTCTTAACTATATTCTTTTTTGCTGTTATTTTTGGCAGAGCTTGGAATCAAGCCTAGGGCCTTACACATATTTAGCAAGTGCTCTGAACACTGAACTACAGTCTCCAGCCCATTTTTTTTTTTTTTTTTTTTTTTTTTTTTTCTTAAATGTAGCCCTGGCTAACTCAAACTCTTGGAAATCTTTCTACCTCACCCTCTGGAGTACTGGGATTACAGGCATAAGTCACCGTGCCTGGCTTCTGACCATATTCCTAACTTTGAAAAAAATCTGGTGCGGTTGGCTTACACTTATTTTCTCAGCATTAGGGAGGCTGAGACAGCGGACTTGAGTCCAGCCTAGATTATAGTGTGTTCCAAGTCAGTCTGACCTACAGTGAGAGAACCTGTTTAAAACAGCAACAAAAAAGACAAAAGTATAGCATTCAGGATTTAACAAAACACTTAGGTTAGAATTCTAACAGTTCATCTTACAGTCTTTGATCAACAATTCAGTCCTTGAAGTATATAAAGAAAAAGGTGTTAAGAGGAACAACACACTAAGCAGAAATGAACATACTTGAGTGTCTTCTTAAGGTTTTCTGAGACGAGGGGTGGCCCACGCCTCTAATCCCAGCACTTGGGAAGGCAGGTGGATCTCTGTGAGTTCAAGGCCAGCCTGGTCTACATAGTTCCAGGACAGCTGGGGCTACAGGGAGACCCTGCTTCAAAAAGACAAAAAAAAAAAAAGGTTTTCTGATGGGATGGCTTAGATTATGATTAGATTACTATATTAGTGGGATCTTGTGTGTCCTTGAGTTGAGATGGAGAGATCAGTTTCCTTTCTTTCTGTTAAGCTTTTTTCTCTTCTGGGAAGATTTTTGACCTAGGAAAAGACCAGGAAGAGCGTGATTGTGCTTTCTGTATTCCATGTGATCAAGTCAACTTGTTCTGCTAATTCCATGTTTGCGCCAGGGGGCGGAAAGGTTTTAATTAATTAACACAAGAGTGTTTGTTTTTCTTAACACGCTGTACTTGAAGTTTTGTGAGTGTGAACTGCCCTAGCAGTCATTGCTAATTTTCATAGCTTTAGAACACCAAAATGCCTATGAAAATAGGCTGGCGTCATAGGTGACTTCACATGAACCAAGGTTTTAAATATTAATAGAACGCAAAAAGAAAATGGTGTTTCATTAAGGCTTATGTTATCATTATACTTATTTTCTGTTTCTTCAGCATGTATGCTGTGACTGTAAGAAGGATTTTTGCTCCGTTTGTTCAGTTTTACAAGAAAATCTTCGTAGATGTTCTACTTGTCATTTACTACAAGAGACAGCCTTCCAGCGCCCACAGTTGATGCGACTAAAAGTGAAGGATCTACGGCAATATCTCCTCCTTAGAAACATACCAACTGATACTTGTCGTGAGAAGGAAGACTTAGTAGATCTAGTACTGTGCCATCATGGACTAGGCTCGGAGGATGACCTGGACTCAAGTAGCCTGAATTCCTCACGGTCCCAAACTTCTAGTTTTTTTACACAGTCTTTTTTTTCAAACTATTCAGCTCCCTCTGCTACTGTGTCTTCCTTCCAGGGAGAGCTCATGGATAGAGATGGGACCTTCAGATCAGGAATGTTGGCACAGGTAGGAGGGTGTGATTGATGACTCCAAGTGCCTGGCATGCTCACTCTTGGTCATATGTGGTAGGAATCTGTAGTGCAGGATGACTTCATGAACCTCAAATCATGTGTCAGAGCAGAGGTTCCATCAGCTGCACTGCACTGCCACTGCCGACCTGCCTGATATGTAACTTCAGTGCTTAGGGTGCTGGGTAGCCTGGAAATCCACTGTTTGAAGCAACCAAAATAGCTCACCAGTTTGACCTTAGTTGCTTCATTTTTCCCTAGTTTGTACAGTTAAGCATGAACTGTTGAAGTAATAACTGGAAAAGAAGTATGCAGATTTTTAGGACCATTTGAACATGTGTCAGTGACCATAGAACAATCACTAATACATGTTAACCAAATACCCAGGATATCTTGGTGAAATGAAATTGTTCTATTTTTATTTTTTGTGTGTGATAAGATCTCTAGCCCAGGTTGGCTTCAAGCTCACTAAGTAGCCAAGAACAACTGAACTTTTTAAATTTAGTTTTATTTTTATGTATAACAGTGTTTTGCCTGCAGTAAGTGCACCCAAGTGTACAGTGCTTGTGGAGCCCAGAAGAGGGCGTTGGATCCACTGGAACTGGAGCTATGAACAGTTGGTTCCTCTGGAGAACAGTCAGTGCTCTTAACTGCTGAGCCATCTCTCCAGCCTTGACTTTGGCACTTACCAGTTTGGCTAGAATTCGATGGCTTAGGAAGCCCCAGGAATAGTCTTGTCTGCCTCCCCAGCACTGGGATTATAAGCATATACTGTGCCTGGCTTTTTGTGTGGGTGTTGGGAATCTGAACTCAGATCTCATGCTTTCATGGCAAGCATTTTACCAATTGAGCCACCTCCCAGCCCCAGCTTTGAATTTCTGATCCTCCCTGTGTCCACCTTCCAAGTACTGGGGTAAAAGGTGTACATCACTGTGACTCAGTGCTAGGGATTTAACCTAAGATTTCAGGTATACTAGACAAGCATTTTTACCAACTGAGTTATCTCCAACTACAAAATTGTTCTAATCTAGATAACAAAACAACTATCTGGAAAATATAGTTATTTACTAATTATAACTAAAATACTGTCCAGTGAGGTCCTTAAGCATCCTAGTTAAATAACATGAAGGGCTTATAATTCATTGATTCTTATATGAGTGATCCTGAATGCTGAATTAAGCTGGGTGTGGTGGTATATGCTGTAATTTCAGCAATTAGGGAGGTAGAGAGCAAGAGCAAATGAACTCAGAAGTTTGAGGCTAGCCTTGGCAATGTACCAAGAATTACTATTTTTGTGTGTATGAGTGTTGCCTGCATGTATGAGTGCACCCATGTCGTGCAATGCTGCGGATGTCAGAAGAGGGCTTTGAATTCCTCTGGAAATGGAGTTAAGGACGGTTCATCCACCACCATGTGGGTGCTGGGAATCGAACCCAGGTCCTCTGCAAGAGCAGTCAGTGCTCTTAACCGCTGAGCCATCTCTCCATCCCCAGAAAGACATTATTAAAGGTAGAGGGATATCTGGGTGTAGTAGCAGATACCTTTAATTTCAGCACTGGGGTGGCAGAGGTAGGCAGCTCTGTGATTGAGGCCAGCCTGGGCTATGCTATATACCGAGTTCCAGGCCAGCTGGAGCTAGGAAATGCTGTTAGAAAAAACAAGAAACAAAAACAAAAAAAAGAAGGATGGCTGGGTGTCTAGTGCATATTTTTATCCTAGTTCTTACGGGACAGAAGGAGGAGGATGGATTTGGCTGCTATCCAAATATTTGTAACTTCAATAGCAGGAATCTTCTCGAGAGCTGGCAAATTATTATAAAATATAGACATATCTGACTTTTATACCACTTTTGGATATAAAATGTTTGGGAGGTGTAAGTGGCTGAATGCTGCAGGCTAGTGGTTGTGGGGTTGAAAATGAAATTGGAACTGACCAAGACTTGTGTGCAATGGCTAAAATAGAGTCAAAAGATGTCATTAGGAATGGTAGTACACACAATTCCAGGATTTGGAAGGGAGAGGCAGGAGAGTGATGAGTTCTGGCCAGTTTGGGCTAGTGTCTCAAAAAAGAAAAAAACAAGATGTGAGAGAAGGTATACAATTGAAATTGAAGCAATTTCTATTTTCCTAACAAAAACTGTTTATTTTTTTTGTAAAGACAGGGTCACCCTGTTACCCCAGCTGGGTTGGCCTGGAACTTGGTATGTAGATCAGGCCTGCCTCTGCCTCCCAAGTGCTGGAATTAAAGTCATGTGCCACCATACCTGGCTGATGAACTTTTTATTTTTTGGTCTTTTTGAGACAGGGTCTCCCTATAGCCCCAGCTGGTCTGGAACTCACTATGTAAACCAGGCTGGCCTTGAACTCAGAGAGATCTGAATTCTGAGTGCTGGGATTAAAGGCATGTGTCACCCCCCCCAGCTTTTTTTTTTTTTTTTTTTTTTTTTTTGGTCTTTCTGAGACAGGGTTTCCCCTGTAGCCCCAGCTGTCCTGGAACTCACTAGTAGACCAGGCTGGCCTTAAACTCACAGAGATCCACCTGCCTCTGCCTCCCAAGTGCTGGGATTAAAGGCGTGTGCCACCATACCCGGCTTCTTTTTCTTTTTAATGCTCATTTATTTTATGTGTATGTAGATGCACATACATGTGAATGCTATGGTGGGTGTGTGGAAGTTCTAGGGATCAAACTCAGGTCATCAGCCTTGGTGGCAAGCATCTTTACCCACTGAACCACTTCACTGACTCTTAGTCTTTGACTTAGTGGCTCTAGTTAAACCAGCCATTTGCAGATCTGTTGATGTAGTCACCCTGTATCCTTAGTGGTTTTGGCAATCAATTATGGGACCTTCCTTAGAGAGCAAATATTCTGATATATCTTAGAAATTCATACACAGAGGAATTTGTTTTGAGGTAACTTTATAGAAAGTGAGGTTCTTGATTTAGTCATGTAGGGTCCAACTCTTTGGGAGAGACAACCACCTTTCAGGATCCAAAGGTCATTTTTTTTTTTTACGACATATTTTTAAATTGAATTTTTGTGCATCTCATACATCACATCATAATCACATTGAGACCCCACCCCCATAGCTCCCCACCAGATTGTATGCATTCCATTAAGGCCTATCAAGTCAGGTCCATGTCCCCAGAAACACTTGGCTTCTTTTTTTTGAGACAGGGTTTCCCTGTAGCCCCAGCTGTCCTGGAATTCACTATGTAGACCAGGCTGGCCTTGAACTCACAGAGATCCGCCTGTCTCTGCCTCCCAAGTGCTTGAATTAAAGGTATGCACTAGCACACCCTACTTCTTTGTTATAAAATTTCAGTTATTTTATGTGTACAAGTGCTTTGCCTGAAGGTATATAAGTACATGCCTGGTGCCTGTAGAGGTTAGAAGAGGGTGTCAGATTCGCTGGCACTGGTGTTAAGGACAGTTGTCAGCCACCATGTGAACTGAACCCAGGTTCTCTGAAGAGCATTAAGTGTTCCTAAACTCTTGAGCCATCTCTCCAGCTCTGAAGTCATTCTTAAGGAAGATCAATGGATGGCTTTTTCCTAGTGATAAAAATGGGTTGGTAGTTAGGAAAACCTGATTAATGACCTAATCAGATACGTTGTGTAGGTACAAAGTGAAATAGCTTCAGCAAACACAGAAGATGACGATGAAGATGATGAAGATGATGATGAAGAAGAAGAAAACTTGGAAGATGAGGTAAGAGTCTTGTAAAATTTGGTTTCCCTGATAGATGCATGTGGCAGAAAAGGAAAATGTCATGTAAACTTCCCTTGGGTTAGCACAGGGTGTTTCTTCTAGTTTAAATGTAGGACAGAATATTAAAACACTTCAAGCTACTGAGAAGTCTGGGAAGAGTGTCTAGGGCCATGAGGACCAAAGGCTAAGAGGGGTCTGGACTTGTGGGACGAGAGGTAATGGATACTCTGATTTCAGAACCCTGGGCTCTCTAGGAAGAAAGTGCGAGCTTCGCTATCTGACCTGTCAAGCCTTGAAGAAGTAGAAGGGATGAGTGTGCGCCAGCTGAAGGAGATTCTGGCTCGGAATTTTGTCAACTATTCTGGCTGTTGTGAAAAATGGGAACTAGTAGAGAAAGTCAACCGGTTATACAAAGAGAATGAAGAAAACCAAAAATTTTGTACGTTAATTTTTCCATTTTTTTTTTCTGATGTAATTAAGTCTAATTTAGCTGTATGCCTATGATCTCAGCAGTTGGGATGCTAAGCCAGGAGATCACTGTGAGTTAAAAGCCAGGGTGGGCTGTATAGTGAGACCCTGTCTCAAAAAACAGAAGTCATTAAAAATAAAAATACTTTGCATGCCTTTAGTCCCAGCACTGGGGAGGTAGAGACACGGGATCTCTGTAAGATTGATGCCAGCCTGGTCTACATAGTGAGTTCCAGGCCAGCTGGGGTTACAGGAAGACCCTGTCTCAAAAAGATAAGGAAAAAAATTTGAGGAAATAATATACCTTTTTAGTGAGTTATGAATTAGTTTATGTAAGCCTGTTTATAGATCTGTTAAATAGACCTTTATGTGACATAGACTCTGAGGTGACAGTTGCCAAGTAAGCTAGATAACCAGTTATTGAGCCTAGTTTTTCTTACTATAAATGACTGTTAGGACTTGCCTGTAAAAGTGTTTGTTTTCTTACTAATCCCTCTGGCAGGCCAGTACCTTGGTTATCTCGATTGTAGCTTTTAAACCTTAACAATGGTGAGGAAATTCACTACATACAGGTGTTCAGTAATTCTATACATCAAGTGTTATTGTTTCTGAGTAAGTCTTAAGCTGACATTAACATCTCAACTAAAAAGTTCTTTAACTCATAACAGCTAAATCACAGTACTTAAGGCTAGGGTAAAAAAAAAATTAGTGGGATTCAGACAAACAAAACTTAGCTCCTCTCATCAACTTTTATCCTGAAATTTTTTTTTTTCCCCTCTTCTTTTTTTGGTCTTTTTGAGACAGGGTCTCCCTGTAGCCCCAACTGGCATGGATCTTGTTACAGAGACCAGGCTGGCCTCAATGCCACCATGCCTGGCTTTTTTTTTTTTTTTTTCTCCCTTTCTTAAGCTGATTAAGCCAGATATAGTCAACTCAACCTATTATACAGGCACATAGGAGGCTAAGGCAGTCTAGGCCAGCCTAGACTAGTGTGATACCCTATCCTTATACAAAGCTGGCTGTTACCAAATTTGTGGATAAATAGTTTCATGATGGGAAATAACTTCATCTACCTACTTCTAGGACAGTGCCATTGTAGCAGGTCCAGGATTTTAATCCCCAGGGCTTTCTCAGGTTCCAGGTTACTAGCTAGAGAATGACATTTGGACAGAGGGGAATTTACTTCATAAATGTAATACCTGTGTACAAGGTAAATTCTAATGAGTGGCATTCACAGTTTAATGATGTAGGCCATAAACACATGGCTTTTAAGTATCTTTCTCAGTTAACTCATTGCCTAATTCAAACCTAGTTTCAATCTCTGGCTTGGTGAGTACATTTTGTTTAGAGCACAGCCAGAATTTTCTCCATCTTGATTGGCCTTAAGCCACTTACTGCTAGGATTGGCTCAAATAAGCCTTGCAGAATATCCCTGAGAGACTGGCTCCTCTGTTATGCCTATATATTGTAAAGAGGAGAAAGGAGTCTTCATACAGGAGTGGAGACCAAGACCAAAATTAAAATTAATCTCATTTAGTCTCTCTCCACTCATCTGTTGACTCATCCCATAGGTCCTTTGTCCCCAGGCTGTACTGTTAAGATCCTATATTACTGCAGGGCATGGTGGCGCATGCCTTTAATCCCAGCACTTGGGAAGCAGAAGCAGGTGGATCTTTGTGAGTTCAAGGCCAGCCTGGTCTACATAATGAGTTCCACGACAGTTTGGAGCTACAAGGAGACCCTGTCTCAAAAAGACAAAAAAACCTGTATTACAAGAATTTTTTGACATGGTAGGCTACAAAATGATATTTCTAGCTGTCCTGGAACTCACTATGTAGACCAGGCTGGCCTTGAACTCAAGAGATCTGCCTGCCTCTGCCTCCCAAGTGCTGGGATTAAAGAAATACAAAGACTTCTGGCCTTGAAGCTTGAATTCTTGTTTTGTTGTAACCATGTTTGTAAATCCCCACCCCCCTTTTTTTTTTGGTCTTTTTGAGACAGGGTCTCCCTGTAGCCCCAGCTGTCCTGGAACTCACTATGTAGACTCACCTCTTCTTAGAAAATAAGCCTCTTAATTCCTCAGCTCTCAGGCAAAATCTCAGATGAGGTTAACTTTTTAAAGTCATTCATTACCTATCTTTCAGTGTCTGGATTGTCTCAGAATCATTCTAAGCCATAGCCCCAGCTGGCCTGGAATTCACTATGTAGACCAGGCTGGCCTCAAACTCACAGAGATCTGCCTGCTTCTGCTTCCCGAGTGTTTGGATTAAAGGCGTGTGCACCACCACACCCGGCTATATGGTTATTCTTAACTATCCTGTGAGTGTGAAATAAATCTCCTCCTGAGATGAGACTGCTGCCCCTTTTCCATGGTCTCATAGCAGGGGCCACTGAGCTGAATTTCCACTGGTGTCCTGGCTCCAAGGCCCATGTGACATGTATGTTTCCTTTTTTTAATTTTTTGTGTATTAAGTACACATGTCATGCAGTGCCTATGGAGGACAGGACAGAAGAGAGCCTCAGATCCTCCCAGGACTGCAGCTACAGAGAATAGTTAGCCACAGGTACTGGGATTCAAACCTGGGTCTTCTGTAAGAACCAGCAGTGCTTTTAACTGCCAATCCATCTTTCTAGCCCCATGTTTAAGACAGGGTCTCCTAGAGCCTAGGCTAGCTTCATATTCACTGCAGCTGAGAATGAATTGTAATTCAGATCTTCTTGCCTTCACCTTCTAAGTGTTAGGATTATAAACATGTATTACTGTGGTTATGTAGTGGCTTATGTAGTGCTAGGAATTGAACCCAGGGTTTCACACATACTAGGTCAATACCAGTTGAGCTATATTCCCAGCCTGTTTCTTTTTCCAAATGGATGAATATATCCTTATTACAAACCCCTTACATTACATGATATAAAACAGAAATGAGTAGCCAACATTTATGAAGCACTTCTTAGCTGGCTGCCATCCAAGTATCCTCATTTATTAACAGAATTCTGACGTGTAGGAATTTCCATATTTGGTGGTAAGAGCCAAAATGCTTAGAATTTTTGCTGCTCTTTCAGAGTACCAGAATTTGGTTTCTAGCACCTATATCAGGCAGCTCACAATCACCTGTAACTTCAGCTCCAAGGGATCTGACACCCTCTTCTGGCCTTCAAGAGCACCCACATAACACCTGGCGCATGTACACATACACAGTTTAAAAAAAAAGTGCAGAGGGGTTAGGGATTACTTTTCATCTAGCACTGGGATAGCATCAGACTTGTGGTGGTCATTCAGAGGATGGCTGTTTGGCTGTGGGCAAGACAGCAAGGCCAGCAGCCATGTCCACAGCCCTAGTTCTCTTGCTTTGCAGATGGTGAGCGAATGCAGCTGCAGGATGAGGAAGATGACAGCTTGTGCCGCATTTGCATGGATGCCGTCATTGACTGTGTCCTACTTGAGTGTGGACACATGGTCACCTGCACCAAGTGTGGCAAGCGCATGAGTGAGTGCCCCATCTGCCGTCAGTATGTGGTGCGAGCTGTGCATGTTTTCAAGTCTTGAAATTGAGGATCCCCCAAAGGGACACTTGCCTGACTCGAGCCCAAGCATTTCAGCGCACAAAAAGAATAAAATTAGATTAAAAAGCTGCTGTAGTTTACATTGTCTTTATAAAGTTCCTAACTTATTTGTATACAGCATGAATGGGGCCCCTTAGCACCATGGTCTAGTAGCCCTCTCCAGAAGAGATAGAAAACACCTTCAGAGATGGAACACACCACAGGGCTGTCTTTGCTGCTTATTTACCATAGTCATGTTTACTATGACCAGGTATTGTGCTAGTTGCTTTATGGTTTTCTTCAACAGTCCCTATTAATGATTCTGAAATGGATACAGCCTCACGTGCATTGAGAAGCCAGCCTCTTAAGAAATTTTAAATATCCTTATCTAAAATTTTAGCTAAGACGTGGCTATGTTAGGCTGGGAGTATAAATCAGAGGTATATTAGTAAGCCCCAGGTTCCATCCCAGCACTAGAGTGTGGTGGGTGAGCTACAGAAGGTCTAACACCGTTTTTTTGTTTTTTGTTTTTTTTTTAAATTTTCAGTTCCATACAGCAAATGAGAAAACTTTGATACTAATTTATGCAGAGGGGTTTCTTCTAGGGCCAACTAGAAGGTTTGGCTTTGGGTTGAGTTGAAACCAATTATGGATTTACCCTACTTATTGTGGGCAAATGTTTTGAAGATTCCGTTGATCTTGACTTTTCAAAGTCTCTAGTTGTCTTAACTTTGCAAAGAGTAACGTGGCCTTATGTACTTAGGATCTACCAACAGACGCCTAACAATTATGAATTCAGGTAGGCTCTGAAACATGTAAATCAAGGGCCTCAAGCCGGTTAAGAACATTGGCTGCTCTTGATCCAAGTTGGGTTCCCAGCACCTACATGGAAGCTAACAACTGTAACTCCAGTTCCAGGGGTGCCAATGCTCTTTTCTGTCCTCCTCAGGTATTGCATGACATGGGTGCACTTTAATATACATACAGGCTTGTACATATACACATACATACACTCATACACACGTAATAGTTTTGAAGGTCACAGTGGAATACAGTGAAGTTACCTTGTTCCTGTTCTCACAGTAGAAAAGGATATAATAATTTAAGACACGATTGTATCAAATCTTCCTTTGCAAACATCACATTCCCTTAGTGGTATGGACATAACCATATCAGATCACACAGACACACACACATAATAAAAACTTTAAAACTTATATAGAGAATAGAGACTTGCATTGGGAGTATAGACTCCAGGGTGGCTTAGTACTCCTTGGGAGAACTCAATCATGACCTGTGTACTACTATGGCCTCCCTAATATCTGGAGCTATGTCATGTCTTGGTGGCATGAACCCAGGTTCTTTTTGAGACAGGGTCTCCCTGTAGCCCCAGCTGTCCTGGAATTCACTATATAGACCAGGCTGGCCTTGAACTCACAGAGATCCGCCTGTGCCTCTGCTAGAATTAAAGGCACGCGCCACCACGCCCAGCTGAACCCAGGTTCTTAGGACTATTCACACGAAAATAAGTCACCCTGCAAGTATTTGAGGAAGAGGATGGCTTTTTGCAATTTTATTTGTATTGAGTGTTTTGCCTTCATGTACATGAGTGCACTGGTGTTGCGCAATGTCTGCAAGTCCAGAAGAAGATGTCAAATCCCCCGGAACTGGAGTTATGGATGGTGGTTAGCTGCCATGTGGGTGCTGGGAACTATACCAAGGTCCCCTGCAAGAGCAGCCAGTGCTCTTAACTGCTGAGCCATCTCCCCAGCCCTGAGGATGACCTCCAGAGAACTAAAACTACCACAGAAATAACCTTTACTTCTGCATAATGAAACTTTCAGGCCAGTAGAAATAATCTGCCTTTTTATAAGTAAACTAGTTAACATCTTAATTTTATTAAACGGATCTCCAGAGTTAAACACCAGAGACAATCATTTCTGTGTCTCTAGTTTGACTCAGAAAAAGCCTTTGGATTTAAGTCAGAGGTATAGCTTTAAATGAGATCTAACTTTTAAAACTGGATGGTTAACAGGAAGGGCTTATAGGGGTAAGGTCTTGATTAGAGAAAGGAAGTTGATTATTTTCCCCATCTTCCAACTCATTAGAACAGTGATCTGTATATATGAATATGAAGTAATTGGGGACTGTCTAAAAATGTTCTATGACCCCAAATTCTAATTTGTCTCAATCTTTCAGCTCCCAGGCTGTAGAATACAGCCTCCGATTGTCTTCTCTGGGACAAGTTTGCCCTCCCCATCTGGGCAACTTCTAGGAAAGAGTAATGCTAAGTGGCAATGGAAGTTATTTTTGTGCAGGTGTGGTAGGAGGTCCCCCAATATGGTTCACCCAAAGGTGAATCATTGCCCCTAATAATGCACAAGCAGCCATCATTGTAGCATTTTTTCCCCATTAGCTTTACAGGCCAGAAACAGATCTTTCTGTAGAATGGAGCAATTATGTGTTGTACAGGGCTGCTGTGCTGCTTGGATGACAGAAATTAAACATTGTTTGGCATCCACACAATGTACACTAGTTTTGAGACTTCCATTAATCCTGGGCTTTCCCATCTGATTTTTAGTCTACTCCTAAAACAAAAACCCTCAAACACCAAGAGTGTTTTTTTGTTTGTTTGTTTGGTTTTTTTTTTTTTTTTTGTATAATTGTTTATACAAATTCAACAAAGGTAAAACCGTATCAGGGAAGGTCTAGGAAACACCACTGTAAACGATGGTACTTATGAATGCAGAACTTGACAACTAGGAAATAGCCAGGTAACCAACCTAAGTGAGAACTCAACTAACACTTCAAAGGAGGGAGAAAAAGTAAAGGCAAGGCTGTGGGGACATTTATTCTACTTGACTCACGGTATAAATTAGATCTATATAGAATACAAGAGCTCATGCTTGGAGCGAAACCCTCCTGAGTGCAAAAGCTGGAGTCTGAATTGTAAAATTTTGAGGAAAAGGTGAACTCTATTGAAGAAACTTGGCAAAGTGTATTTGACTATAATTTACATTTGTCCACAACATGCTTGTGTATCTTCTTGACATATAAAGTAGGCTCTCAACATTCAGTAAAACATGCTTTTAAGTGGAAGGTTGTCTCCCTCCCCATCACACCTGGGCACATGTATTGATGGGCTTTGTGTTGATGAAGTACAAGTTAAATTCTTTCCTACCTGGAGGAAAGTTGGCAATCTCAAAAACAATAAAAACACTGGTATGCATTCAAATCTTGCATAAATAATTTTTAAACAATTTGTACAAAAATAGTTCTGCATAATGTAAGATGTAACAAAACCAACTAAACAAAATGTGTCAAGACAGCTGCAGATGGGGTGTATGGTCCACTGTGTTGACACCAGAAGCCTTGGCATTACAAGGAACAAAGTGCCCAAAACAAAAACACCACCGATAAAAGCTCAGACTTCTAAGAGGATGTCTCCAAAGCCGATCCTCCTCTCCAACTGGAATGTCTTCTAAAGGCCGCCTTAGAAATGGTCCAGAAAGCAGTGCAGTTATGATGCAGAAAGGCCAAAATAGAATAAAGTATCTATCTGGCTTACACTCTTCCCCAAATGGGTGGGTGAACAGCTTCTCCCTTGGCAAGACTTGCAAAATGGAACCGTGTCCTGTGGTCTGTTGTTCCAAATTCCAAAGGGAAATAAAAGTTTTTTTTTTTTGTAGTCTTTCCCTTCTCAGGCTGTATTTCCCCTACCCCACCCCGCCCCCCATATTTACATACTTGTCCTGGGACTAACTTAGTTTTTGCAGAAGTTTTTCTTCCACCTGCCCAAACTGGACACTGACAGACATTTCAGCTATGAACTGCTCGCAGCCTTCCTTGGTGACTTGCTTGCAGTACCTCAGGTCAATATGACAGATATTTCCACAGCGTTTAAAGAAGGACAGGCACTGATCAGTGACTTTATTGCAGTCTGTAGGGAAGATGAAAACCATGTTAAACTACAGAAGATGAAGAACCCAAAAGCCCCTAAACTCAGGTGCCCAGCAGTAGAGATGGAACAGATTGCTCAATGTCCTTGAAATGGGGGGATGCTTTCATCTAATTGCAAAAAAACTTTAAATGTATAGCTCAGTGGTAGAGCACTTGCTAGGCATGTGGAAGGCCCTAGGTTCTAGTTTCCACACTGCTATTAAAACAACAAAAGCCATTCTGACTCTACCAGGTGAAAATCACTTGTACCACAAGGTATATTTCTATAAATAGATCTGTGTGTCTTACAAAAAGGGCCATATAGAGGGCTGGAAAGATGGTTCAGCAGTAAAAAAGCATTTACTGCTCTTCCAGAGCAGTTCTCTTCCTAGCCCCTAGTCCCCACCCCTACATGGCTGCTAATAACCCTCCTTAACTTCAGTTCTGGGGATCTGATGTCCTGTTCTGGTTCTCCATGAGCACTGCATGCACAGGTATGCAGGCAAATGCTTACACAAATAAAATTAAGCAACTACAAAAAGGGGGTCAAGCTGGGCGTGGTGGCGCACACCTTTAATCCCAGCACTCGGGAGGCAGAGGCAGGCAGATCTCAGTGAGTTCAAGGCCAGCCTGGTCTACACAGTTCCAGGCCAGCTGGGGCTACAGGGAGACCCTGTCTCAAAAAGACCAAAAAAAAAGTGGGGGGTCATAATGGGTCAAAGGGGTTTTCCAATGGAATAGTTATATTTGCCTCTCTATATCCACCTATACTATGTTCAGAGTGAGAAGCTGTCTAAGGTCATCTTGGGACCCATGTGCTCTTTTGCACCCTAGCACATTGGTGATGCACAGCCACATACTGGCTTCCTCACCCCACAACCCAACACAAAGTGTCTAGTTGAAGCTTGATGGGGCTGAAGAGAGGTTCGGCCCATAAAAAACAAAACAGAATTCAGAATCGTTGACCACGTCCTATGAACAGCTGTGTGTTTCCTTTATCATTCTGTACTACCTCTTTCCTTTAGAACTAATAATCCATTGTCAACTGGCTTAAATGCCAAACAATGATCAACAGAGACTAAGAAGAATAATTCCTTCTACATGAATCAAATGGATCAGAAAACGATTGATACTTTCCTGTCAGTTTTATTAACTTTGAAATGTTTTCTTATCACTTTTGATTTTCTTTGAAATTGAGTGGGAATAAAACAGGGTCAACTGATAACATGCACTATCAAAATGGCAGAAGCTTGAGGAAACTAGTACCATGTACACCTGTATACTGTTAGTCTTGGCAAACCAGAGCTCACCAATTCTTATGTGCAAAATTCAAGGAAAATAATCCAGTCTCACAAATGCAGTAAGAATCTCATGAATTTGGAGTAAGTGGCCACAGGAAACTGTATTCATCATGTATACAGACAAATAATGAGGGTGGACAGTTAAGATTGAAGGAGGGACAACAACAAAAATGTTGACAAAGATGCCTTAAAAGGTAACTTCTTGGGGCTGGAGAGATGGCTCAGCGGTTAAGAACACTGAATGTTCTTGCAGAAGAACCAGGTTCAGATCTCAGCACCCACATGGCAGCTAACAACTGTCTGTAACTCCAGTTCTAGGGGATCCGATGCCCTCTGCTGACCTCCGTGGCATTGCACGACATGGGTGCACTTCCATACATGCAGGCAATACACACATACACATAAAAATAACAAAATATTAAAAAGGGTAACCTCTCTTTTTAAAAATTATTTTATGTGTATATGTATTTTTATGTGTATACATATTTTAAGTGCACCTGTGTCATGCAATGCCTGTAGAGGTCGAAAAAGCATTGCGGGGGGGTGGGGGGTGGGGGGTGGAGGGCTAGAGAGATGGCTCAGCAATTATGAGTATTGACTGCTCTTGCAGAGGACCAGGGTTTGATTCCCAGCACCCACATGGCAGCTACAAACCGTCCTTTAAACTCCAGTTCCAGGGGAATCCAAAGCCCTCTTCTGACCTCAGCACTGCACAACACGGGTGCACTCACATACATGCAGGCAATACACTCAAACACATATAATAAAAATAAGTTAGGCGTGGTGGCGCACGTCTTTAATCCCAGCACTCAAGAGGCAGAGGCAGGTGGATTTCTGTGAGTTCAAGGCCAGCCTGGTCTACATAGTGAGTTCCAGGACAGCTGGAGCTACAGGGAGACCCTGTCTCAAAAAGACCAAAAGAAAGAAAGAAAAATAAGAAGAAAAAAAAAAGGCATTGGATCCCCTGGAATTGGAGTTAAGGATGGCTATAAACTGCCATGTGGGTGCTGGAAACTGAACTCGGGTCCTTTTCCTTTTTTTGGTAATTTTGAGACAGGGTCTCCCTGTAGCCCCAGCTGGCCTGGAACTCACAGTGATCCACCTGCCTCTGCCTCCTGAGTGCTGGGGTTAAAGGCGTGCACCACCACGCCCAGCATCCAGGTCCTTTTCAAGAGCAGCAACTACTTTTATCCACAGAACCATCTCTCTGCCCCACCTCTTAATCTCAAATATTCCCTCAAGATGGTTATTCTGCTTTATAATCTTAATGCAAAAGTCAAATGATAAAAGATGCGATATAATGCTAGCATACAATTACTTCAAATTACTTGATTCACTTTACACAGGATAGATTTTACTGTGTGAAAAAGCCTATTTCATTCCATATTTTTGCTTCATTTTTCACTTGTGTGACACCCCCCCACCCCCATACTGAACAGGCCTTTTTTATGATACCAGTTTACCCCTATCACCTTATAACTAAAGCTGGATAGCCATAGGCCCTAGTGGCAACCATCTATCAGCAGGAAGCATTTGCCTGTGCAAGGTCTACTGAACCAGGCTGCAAGAAGTGTCATATACAAGAGGGACCAAAGGACTCCTCATGGAAAGTTCTTTTCTTCCAAATAGAAGGGTTTTTGAGTTCAGAGTATTTTTGTTTTGTTAACCAAGAGCCAGGGAGCACTCTGGCTGAAAGTGAGTTACAGAAGAGGGCCCAAAGCTTCCTACCCAAATTCAATTTGCAAAAAGAGGCCATCTGGAAACGGAGGTCACACTAGTATAAGTAAGACAATTATTGAGGCCTTATGCCTACCTAATGGCCACTTGTCACAGCAGTGTACCAGCTGAACAGCAAAGTCCTCTGGGTGAGAGCTTCCTGTGAGAGAAAACCTGTCAGGCTCTTCTCTCTGGAAGTGGGAGACTATTTCAGGATTGTCCCAAAACTGGTGATAGAAGTGGGACTAGAGGTAGCAGAGAGCAGAGCAGGATCTGAAGGGAATGAGATGGGCTCTGGAAACAGAACTGAACATCTGGAAGGCAAGTGAAGTGCCCTGAAAGGGGACGGTGGTTAAACTGGAAGCCAGGATATCTAGAGTGCCTTAAACAAGGCTTCTGGGGTGATAGGAACAGTAGTTAGCAACAGGAATTGTGTGGGGGCCATTCTAAGTCTTGTGTGTATGCTCCGTAACCAGCATTTTCATGCATGAGAACTCACCCTAAGACCATCACAATTATCTTTTCATAGCAGGAAACATAATTTGTATTTTTGTTTTTTTTTTAACCAAAAATGTGTAACCTGTATCTGTGCAAACTTCTGGCCTTAACCTAGAGTTCACAGGAAAAAATGATACATAGAACAGGCTGACACGATGAAGCCAACTAAAAATCCTGAATGGACTAGTAAAGTGACTAGAGATCAGGGGAGGAGATCAATGTCATATACTGATCTTGCAGTCTAAAGATAATTGTGGGGTTTTCTGTTTATTTTTGTGGTGCAAGATAAAATCTAGGGTCTTGTGCATAATTAGTAAGAGCTCTATTACTAAGTTCTATTCCTGGTCATTTAAGGATAACTAATAACAGGACAAGGGATGGTCAATATGGGGTCTCATATGTCACAGTGAAAAAAATGAAGCAAAAGTATAAAAATAGGAATTCCTATCACTTATACTTAAAATGAATCCAGTATTGAATTTTGAGGGTATGATTTTTTTTCTGAAGGAATGGTATGCTAGCATTATACAACATCTTTTATCATTAGAACTTTGTTGTAAGATAACAGAGAATGTCAGTCATCTTGGTGGGTATATCTGAGGGGTTAATTAGAAAGAGTGTGAGAGGGTTATTTTTGATTGCATGACACATCGCTTTGTCAATTTTCCCACCTTCAGTCTCATTAAGAGTAAAAGGGTACAAGAAGGGGTCATCTCCAGAAGGTATCAAGACTAGTCCAAAAAAAAAAAATTCAAGAATGTTTTCTACAACTGAAGAATGTGTTTCTATATTGAAAGAGCTCACGAGTGTTTACTGTGATGCAATTCATAAAAAATTATAGACAAGGGGCTGGTGAGTTTGCCCAGTGGGTAAGAGTACTCATTGTGCAAAGCATGAGGACCTGGGTTCAAATCCCCAGCACCCACATAAAAAACTAGGCAGGGTAGTATGTAACCCCATGGCTAGGGGCAGGGGCTACAGATACATACGGTGAAACTTTTCATATAATGAAAGACCCTGTCTCAAAGCAATAAGGCAGAAAAGTGATAGAGAAAGATACCCAACATCCTCCTTTGGACTTCACATGCTTGGACATATGTGCATTCAACACACACAATTTAAAAATTACAAGTAGAGATAAAGACAATGTCTACAAAACAGTGGGCCAAAATAGATTCACTGACAGACAAAGCAATACATTTAATTCATCCTCACTTCTGAAAGATGGAAGCCAGTGGAGAAACAACCTCGCTCCCAAACTAGTATTCTATATTCAACTGAATGTGAGGACACATTAAAAAAGGCCAGGGGCTGAGGGGGGTTGTAGTGGTGATGGTTCTGCAGAAAAACTGTTTTGTAGAGGGATATTCAGTTTTGTTTTGTTGTAGTTTGTTTCAGAACTAAATCAGAAAGAGACTTCTTTTTTGTGGGCTTTTCTTTTGTCTTTTTGAGACAGGGTCTCCCTGTAGCCCCCGCTGGCCTGAAATTCACTGATGTCTATCAAAAGAAGCAGTTTAAAAAAAATTTTTTTAAAAACTTATTTTATGTGTATGAGTGTATTGCCTGCATGTAAGTAGGTGAACCTGTGTTGTGTAGTGCTTGTGGAGGTCAGAAGAGTGTGCTGGATCCTGTGGAACTGGATTTAACGGTTGTTAGCCACCATGTGGGTGCTGGAATCGAACCTGGGTTCTCTGTAAAAGCAGTCAGTGCCCTGAGCCACCTCTCCAGCCCCAAGAAGCAATTATTAACTAGAAAAACTCAACTCATGCAGGAAAGGAAGTGTCTTTGCAATACATTGTTTGGCTTAATTTGTAATAAAAATTTACAGGATCATAAGGTAAAATATTAGCAACTTTACTAAAAATTGGAAAAAATGGAGGAAAAAGAGAATAACAAGAGGATACAACCATAATAAATTCTTGTGTTCCATAAAGACATATCTGAGTGGAAATGGCAGCACAGGCTCACTATGTGGAAATATATGGAGGTAAACTGGAGAGAGCTCAGGTCTAGGGGTTGCCTGAAGGGGTAAGGATTACAGAAAAGGCCAGGTACAAACTAGGACCAATAAACATTTCTAGGATGAAATGTAGCTTCAACAGCAATAGCTGGGAGCCAGATCCTCCAAACACATGAATATACCCTGAAACTCAACTGGTCATCTATTTTGTGGTACATGCTTACCTTATCAATAACTAGTTACATTAATGGGAGGTACAAAACAAAAGAGGAAGAGAATAGGTGTAGAGATATGCTGTAAAATACTAAAAAAAAAAAATTTTTGTCTTTTTGAGACAAGGTCTACCTGTAGTCCCAGCTGGCCTAGAACTCACTATGTAGACCAGGCTAACCTTGAACTCAGATCTGCCTGCCTCTGCCTCCTGAGTGCTGGTAATAAAGGTATGTGCCACCAAGCCTGGCTTCAAAACGTTTTTAAGACAGGGTCTCATGTGCCCTAGGCACCAATATGGTGGCTCATAGTATTTGGAAGGTAGAAGCAAGACTATCAGATGTTCAGGGTCCATCTTTGACTATATAGTAAGTTCAAGGGCAGCCCAAGGCACATGGCATCCTGTCTCTAAAAAGAGCTGTATTAGGCTGGGCATGGTAGTACACACCTTTCATCTGAGCACCCAGGAGGCAGAGGTAGGCATATCTCTGAGTTCCAGGCCAGCTGGGACTACAGGGAGACCCTGTTTCAAAAAGAGCCCCCCACCCCCGCCCAAAAAGAGCTATATTATCAAGAGTGAATTTATCTGTGTACTGAGATGAAAATGGTCTCAGTGTAGTGTGGTGCAAAACAAAATGTAAAAGATGATTCATAACACTCTCCCACATAACTCCCTGAACCAAGCTGCACATCCATAACAATTAGAACATGGCAACAGAGGCAGAAACGAACCTGCCTGACTCTAGTTCAGTGGTCAAAACCCTGTCTTTGGTGGCTCTGCATCCCAGCCCATTGCTGTCCACTGGACTCTGGATGTCAGGCACTGGCCTGTCTCTTACCACCTTTGAGAAAATGTCCCTAGCCCATGTTTCTGGATCAGAAATCACTGCTGCCCGATCTCACACCTGTCAGCAATTTTTTTCATTGCAATTACTACAATTCATTATTTTTATTTATGTATGTGTGTCTACTTTTCTCTAGTGTACCACATGCAGGCAATACTAGAGGAGACAAAAAGGTGGTTGGATCCCCTAGAGCAGCCTGATATGGGTGCTAGGAACTGAACTCAGGTTTTGTGCAAAAGCAGTAAATGTTCTTAATCGCTGAGTCATCTCTCCAGTCCAGTTATACAATTCTAATACTCTTTACACTTAGTGGTCTCATTTACTGGTATTTCTGAGCACTGTGACCATACAGTACATATAATACAGTTCTCAACAAATATCCAATGCCAGCTATCCTAAAGGTGCTGAGCTACATAAGGGGCCTCACCTTACCTGACAGGTTGATCTCTGTCAGAGAGTCCCGGGTGGTGGTGCCAACTGCAGTGAGCAAGTTGATAGATTGGTCGGTGACATGGTTACAGTAACTGAGGTGGAGCTTGGAGAGTAGGGGCATGTGGCGGATGATAAGCCGCAGGGAGGCATCTGTGATGTCCAGACCAGCTAGGCGCAGTTCTACAATGTTCCGGAGCTTGCTCCGATTGTCCATCTGACCTGTTGGGGAAGGCAGAATAGAGGCAACCTATCAACCTAACCAGGGAGATCATGATGTTCTCTAAGGCCTACCAGCTAGATATAACTGTAAATTTCAGTTAGCCATGAAGTTACTTCACCCCCAAGCCAGAATTCTAGCATTTAGAAATTAGAAGCTTCCACATCAGAATTTGTATTTCTAGATTCTCTAGAAAAATCAGAATCCATAAACACGGTTGGAGGATCCAACTTTGAACTATGGCTTTTCAGACTATATTTAAATCACTCTAGTGATACTTATTAGGTGTACAGGGAGGTGTGCTTGCCTTTCCCTTTAAGAAAAATCTAGAAACACTGATCCTATATTCTGTCCAACAATAATAATCCAATTGGCACAGGGATAGCTCAGTGCCCTTGTCTGTTGCCACTCATACCCTACATAAATCATTTGTGCTTTGACTGGGATAAAGTGACCCAGGTAGGTGACCTAGGAGCATGCCACACTTGGAGCCATCCCTCAACCACCCTAATCCTAATATACCCAAGAATGTTGAAGCTAATGAAGATTAAGTTCACAGACAAGCAGTCAGAGTTCCAGAAGAGTGTATGCACAAGAGCACGTACTTCTCCTTAGAACCCTGCGCCCAAAGCTGGCTAAGAACATAGCCCTGTATCCTCCAGAACTCTGCCCTGTATCCTCCAGAAAGTAGCTAATGCCAGGGAAGGCTGATGACACATGCAGTAGATGGGGCCTGTGGTCAAAACCAGATCCAGCAGGATAGCTCAGTCACTGCATCCCCATGGGGCAGACGCCCTTAGGGCACAGGTTCAGCCTGGCAACTCACCTGGTCTGTTGTCTGTAGGTGGAGATAGGAGATCCCGCATCTGGGCATCTTTTAGTCCTTCTACCCACTGGACATCCAGGGTCCGGAGCAATGGACAACTGGAGCTACAGAGGGCTGAGACAGCAATCCATGAGCAGCCAGACAGCACCAAGTCTCGGAGCCCTAGGAGAAAAAAGAGCACACAGGTCAGGTAGCATACCCTAGGCCCCACTGACCACACATTTGGGGTCCCTGGCCAAAAGCTTACCAGGCAACCGGTTGATGAGCCAACTCAGCTGCTTCTTGGAGATATTGGTCCAGCTGAGGTCAAGGGAGACAGGCTGGCGCCGTATGATCCCACTCAGCATCAGGGGTGTGATAGACTTGCAGTGGTTCAGGTCAATGCGGGTCCACAACCGCTTATCACAGCACCTAGTGGCCAGGGCAGGCAGGAGGACATCATCAGAGTTGGAGAGCCTCTGCTCAGCTAAAGTAAGCACCCTGACCTGCCATCCTCAAGTGAGGGGTTCCTGTAAGATTCTGTACTCTGTTTAGTACCCATCCTGACCACATTTAGACATCTCTGCTGATGGCTACCATGCCAACACAGAAGGTCCTTTCGCTTACCATCAAATATCTCCTGGGCCTTATATGCCCTCTATAGGCTGTACCTCCTAACAACCGCTGAGGCAGCACTGGGTCCACCCATTCATGTATGTGGGTAAAGAACTAAGTTAAAGTAAGATATCTGGAAAATATCAAGGTAGTTTTAGTCAGCACTGGCATGCTCACTCTTAACCCCAGTTAACTCTAAAGACAAGAACTCTACAAGGATCTTTGTTTTCTCTATCAGGAAAGCAAATGGGTGCCTCCTCCCACGAGACTGGGCTGAGGAGTGCTGTGGCACCCTGAGCCTCTGTGGCGGGGAGCTAATCTCCATAAGCAACTCTAGCAAAATGTGCTGCCATGGACTGCCCTGAGCCTCAACCTAAGCCCTACATAGGGTGGTCCCTCACCAGCGGTTCCATGTCCTGCAGACCCGCATGCAGACACACAGGTCTTGATGGCTGAGGTAGCTGAAGACGGCCATCCACACCTCTCTGTGCATGACGTGGGCTGCCCCATCATCCAGGGGCAGCGAGTCAGGTGGGGGGCTGATAGGGGGTGGTCGGATCACGTGACGCTCCATCTGGATGCACTTGGGTGGGGATGTAGAGGGTGGGGGCCGCGAGATGACACGGGGTGGGCTGCGCAGGCCAGGCCCCAGTGAGTGCCGCAGCTCCCGGGGGGTGCTGTTGAGCCCCTTACTGAAGCGGTGGGGTCGCTCACAGTGGCTCAAGGGCCGTTTGGGTTCCTCATTCTCACTCTCAGGTTCTGACTTGATGGGCTGGTGGTTTTCATGGGCCAGGCTGCTCTCTGTCTTTTGGATCTCATGGTTGAGCTCCTTACTTAGCTCTTTGCTCAGCTCCTTGTTAGGAAGCCGCCGTTTCCTGCGCATCTTCACTTTCTTCTTCTCCTCTGGGCCTTCAGCTCCCTCAGTGCTAGGCCCAGCGGTGGGTGAACTAGAGCGTGAGTGGTCACTCTCCCGGGTCTTGGGGGGTGCTTCAGGTAGATCGTCCTCTGGTTCCTGCTTGAAGCGCCGAAGGGGCTTGTTGGCCAGTGCTAGTCGGTCTTCAGCGTTTTTCCAAGACCTCCGCTTAAGAAAGAGAGGGAGGGGGTTAAGGGTCGGTGATCTGTGATCAGCCCATCCAATTTGGGGCAGCTCTCACCCCAGGCTTCCCAACCCACTGTCAGGGAATACACGGGCCACCAGGGGTACTGCCTACAGCTCTAACAGCTGGAAGTGGGGTGGGGGCGTAGGAGGGAGAGAAAAATGGTACCTTTTTCCTGAAAAGCTTATCTTCTTTGCCAGGTTTTAGCTGTCATAGGGAAGAAAGGATGTAGAGCTTGCTCCCAGGCTGAAGAAACACAGTCCCCTTTAGACCCCACCATACCTTGAGCCCAATCTCTAGAGGAGGGGCTAGAAGGATATCTTTCCCAAAGATCTCCCCCCTTCATATCTGACTGACAGATAGCATAGTCCTGCCTGTTGTTTTCCAGGAGGAAGGTGGAAATAAGGGAGGATGGTTGATTGTTCCCACCCATCCCACCCCAGACAGACCAGAGATTGCAGTCACCCATTATAGCAGCCAAGGCTGAGGAAGCCCAGGGCTAGAGATCAAGCCAGAGGCATCCTCAGCCAAGCCTAAACCAGGAGCTGCTTTGGGCGCCACCTTGTGGCCAGTAACAGCAAGGCCCATGGGCAGATCAGGGCAACCAGGATCCTCTGAGGTTCCCATGGACTCCAAGAGCTTCCCAGCTGCAGCTTCCCCAACCAACCGTGGCTCTCCTCACAGAGCTTCTCAGGCCCACTGCAGACTTGGGGCCACACCTCAGGAGCATCTGTGGCAACAGGATAGGAGGACTGGGGAGTTGTGGGGAGGACAGCCCGGACTCGAAAGTCCCCAGGGCCTTGGGAGGGTGGGGCGTGGGAGCACCTGCTGCTGGAAGTAAGTGAGACTGGATCTCCACCAAGGGCTGAGACTGCTGCCTAGAGGGGGCCTCGGCGAGAGGTGAGAGGAGGAACCGGGGGACGTTTGAAGCGTCGAGGCCTAAAGGGGGTGGGAAGAGGAGTGACTTCGCTGGTTTTCCTCTTTCTTTTAGGTCAGGCTCTCAGGACTTAGGTGACCTGCTCAGGGCAGCTCTTAAGAGGCCAGGATCCCAAGTTCTACCCATTAACCTTCCCTGATACCCACCCTCCGCCCCACACCTAAGACCAGTCATGCCACCCTTCTATTGCCCAGGGCCTCCCAGTCCGTACTCGCTTTCGTCCACTCAGCTCTTGGGGCTTCTCGTATTTCCGCTTCCTCCTCAGGTGCACATCGTCAGACTTTCGGCGTAGGATGCCATCAGGGGGGACCTTCTTGGGGTGTTCGTCTGACCTGCGCCGGGGCGCCTCCTCACACTCACTCCTCCGTTTGGCAGGCTCCTGCCCTTCCTTGTTGTCCCGGTTCATCTTCTGCTCCTTGAGCAGGGATCCGGGCAGGTTGGAGGCATACTTAAAGCCAGGGCCACGCTTTTGCTTGTAGGCCAAAATGAGAGAAAGAACAATCCGACTGTATATCTTTGGACTTGTTCTTCCTCCTCCCCAATCCAAGGCACCCCACCCTGACTGACAACCTAGGACAGGCCCAGCCCGCCCCTCTCCGTCAAACCAACCCAACAGGGACTTGGAGCCCGCACTCACTTTCCCGGTCTTGCCGGCATGGTTACACTTCGGACACTCCCAGCAGTTGGGAAGTTCGTCGTTGACCACGCCCTCTGATTCCTTAATCTGCAAGGACAGGCCAGAACTCAGTGGGCAGGGAAGGGTGCCCAGATGGTCCACAAGGGTGCAGGGTTTTATGAAAGCCCAGTCTGCTTTGGATATTCACACCCCTCCCCAATGTCATGTCCATCTCATACCAAGCCAAAATATAAATAAATAAAGTACAGCTGAACATCTGGTGAGATGACGACTCTGGGTTCAGATACTGAACTTTTGTCCCGGCTGGCTCAGCCATGCTGGGACAGTACACCTTTATCTCTGTGGGCCAGGGCCCTTGGCCATAAGATAGCAAATAAGTGTGCTCATTTCATGGAGGAGGAGGGTAGAGTGGTTGAGAAAATCTAATTCAGGGATATAAGGAAAATAGTGGCTGAGAAAATCTAATTCTAAGGAAAATAATCAGCTCAGCACTTAGCATGCAGAAAGGACCTACCACGTGGCTGTGTCATTCACCTTAGCTAGGCACAGGATAAATAGCCAGGCAATTACAATCAGAAAGGGCTGGCTTCCAAAGCCAAGGACATCACAATACCCCCTTTAGAGGGTGTGTGTGATGAAAGAACTAAAGTTCTCCCTCCTATAGTCACCCCTGCAGCCCACAGACATACAGGCTCTGACTCTGCATTCTCCTGGGACAGAGACATGCACCAGGCCAGAGTGATTTCTTCCTTTCCAAGGTGGAACCAGCTGCCTGAGCCAGGCAAACACAGAGGTCACCCAGAAGGCAGCTCTGTTCTGGCACATTACAGGAACCGGTTCCTGGTGCAGAGGCACAGGAGAGCAACCACCTGGTGCTCTGACCCGCCTAGGTCTTATTCTCCCAGAAGCCAGGTGTCAGGATTCCGGTAAGTAGCCACCTTGGGTCTCTGCCTTGATCTGGGTACAAATATGCAGCCCATGTTTTCTGTCTGCTGAAAAGTTGGGACCCTGCTGTGGCTCTGAGGTATGGATGGGTTCATTCTCTGAGGGAAACTACTCCAAATCCATCCAGCTCTGGGCTGATCACCTGACACCTCTAAACTTATGGGTTCCCTAGGAATGCAGTACAGCACCTGTGCATCCTACCACTTCAGCAGCAGTTTCTAGGAAGGAACCTAGCCTCACTGGTGTGGCACCAGACCATCATCATGAGTCCTATAGTATATGTTTATATGTGTGAGAGGATTCCCAGGGCCCCAAGGGACACTACCTTCAGGCATCCAGGGTGGATGATCTCATTGCAGATGGAACACTCCATAAGCATGAGGTTAAACTTGCCTTCTTCCTCTTCTACTGTGTCCTCCTTCCCTGCCTCTCCACACACAAGGCACACAGCAGTGTGGGGCAGCACTGGCTGAAGAACCAAGAAACATACAAGTCAGGAGGGAGGGATGACAAACGCCTCTGGGGACCAGGCCAAAGGCAATGAGCTGTTTTCCTGGGCCTGTCAGGGAGCATCAGAAAGTGGTTCAGGAACATTTATTTAGTCACTTGTTCACATACCATTAGGCTGTTACCTCTATGTGCCACATGTGCTGTAAGAGCTAAGAATATAGCAATGAATAAGACAGATCAAAGTCTCTACCATCCTGAGCTTGTTTTCTGGTGGAGGGAAGAAGACAAAATGAAGAACAGAATATGTCATACAGACTAAGGACATTAGGAAAACAAGAAAGGAAGAAAGGAAGGGGGAGAGGTGAGTGGAAATGCACCTAATTTTAAGTATGGCGGTCAGGCAAGGCCTCCCTGTTGGAAAAGACTGGAACAAGATGTCACATGAACCGCGCCTAGAGCTGAGGGTCATCTCACCAGTGAATATCAGGCACATCCACAGCCTCAGTTCCCAAGACCTTATAGGAGGGCTGTGGGGTCAAAACCCTCGAATAAGACATCACTTGCCTTCTGCAGTGACAGTACAACAGGATGAGTGAAACTATGGGGGTCCTCAGCACTAAAGGCAAACCCAGCTGTCCTGACAGCCAGTCACTCAGGACCACATGTACACTGAAGAGATCACCAGCTAATGTCTTTGATTATTAACTTCATGAAAACCTCAACCCTTAAACACACATCCTTTCCACATAGGAAGTACGTACACAGTATTTCCGCACACAGAGCTACCATTAAAGGAAAAAGTACACATTGTGAGCTCAAATGACCACTAGATTCTCTACAGAACTTTTTTTTTGGAGGGGGGCGCAGTCTTTTTGAGATAGGCACAAGGAGACCTGGAACTTGCTATGCACACCAGGCTGCCTCTGCCTCCTGAGTTTTGGGTTTAAAGATGTGCACCACCATGCCCAGCCTCCTCCACAGACCATCTTTATTTTTTGTTTCTACTACTTTTTGAGGCAGGGTCTTGACACTGTAGCCCAGGCTGACCTGAAACTCATTATCCACCTGCCTCAGTCTCTACAGTGCTAGGATTACTAGTATGAGCCACCATGCCTGGCTTAAAACATTTTTATTTGAAAGACTAGAAAAACCAGTGGGTACTGGTATATTTTCTTGAAGATGTAAGTGGTCCTGTCATTTCCAGAAAAATAAATGACATTTGGTACAAAAGACAAAATTTAAGCTGGGCATGGTGGCGCACACCTTTAATCCTATCAATTGGGAGGCAGAGGCAGGTGGATCTTTGTGAGTTCCAGGCCAGCCTGGTCTACATAGTGAGTTCCAGGACAGCTGGGGCTACAGAGAGATCCTGTCTCAAAAAGACAAAAAAAAAAAAAAAAAAAAAAAAAAAAAAAATTTAAGTATCTAAAGGCCAATGAAGTTTTCTTCACTAGGTAGGCTTTCCATGGACTGAACAGGCTTTTCTGAAAAGATTGACAGGGATAACAAATGTGATTATGGGGTTGGAGAGATGGCTCAGCAGTTAAGAATACTGACTGTTCTTGCAAAGGACCCAGGTTCAAATCCCAGCACCCACATGGCAGCTAACAACTGTCCATAACTCTAGTTCCAGCGGATCCGACAGCCTCTTCTGTTCTCCGTAGTCACTGCATGATACAGGTGCACTTACCTACATGTAGACAATACACACATACATGTAAAATAATAATTTTTTTTTTTTAAAACTTGATTATAAGCCGGGCTTGGTGGCGCACGCCTTTAATCCCAGCACTCGAGAGGCAGAGGCAGGCAGATCTCTGTGAGTTCAAAGCCAGCCTGGTCTACACAGTGAGTTCCAGGACAGCTGGGGCTACAAGGAGACCCTGTCTCAAAAAAAAAAAAAAAAGATTGTATGAGCATATGCATATAGCATAATAATGGCACGTAGCAATCTTTAGAAAAATCTGTCTCAGTGAATCTGTATCTGCCAAGTGACCAATACATGTTATAACTGTATGAGCTACTTAAAGGGCAAGACTGACAACTTTTAATGTAACAATATGAAAAGTTCTTGATACAGTTTTTTATTCCATTTGCAACTAAGCTTCAAGAAGCTGCCACCTGTGGGACTCCTGTGGCCTATTGAGGGTACTCAAGTTTATCTGAAAAACTATTAACATACCCCTCCTATGTCCAGCTAATTATCTGTGGGAAGCTGTATTTTCCTTTTCCTCCATCTAAGCAATATATCTAGCAGATGGTATATAGAAGTAGACAGGAAAATACAAGTACTAATGAGCCAGAGACACAAGGGATTTGTAGAAACATGAAATGATGTCATTCTTCTTTATTAATTACTTTTATTTTGGAAATTATAGTTGGTTCTCATAAAAACATCATTGTTAACATGTAATGGGGGTTGTTTTTAAAATGAACTTAAAATATATTTTAATTTCTTAGCTTTAGTTCAAAATACAGTATTATTAAGTAAATAATAAAGATAAACTTCTCTGGGAGTTCTCATAATTTTTAAGACCAGAAAAGGGTGCTAAGACCACAAAATTTGAGAATGGCTATACTAGCTGATATTCAGTAAGGTGAGGGGCCAAGACAGACCTTCATCCTTCCCCATGCCCTATCAGCCTTCCAGTGCCAATTAGAAGAAACACTCTCTATTTTTCTTAAACTGCTTCACAGTGGCCTCAAAATAAGTTAGGATGCACATTCTATTCATAATTTTAAAAGTCTTTACGAAATGGCAGAGGCATGTAAATTCAAATAGAACATGAAAATAAGAGAATCACTGAGTGTTAGACAAGGTACAGAAGGGTGCAGGTCTGAGGAGATAGTGCCACCCTAGAGGTATTTGGGAAGACAAAGACGTAATGTGTTAAAAAACAAAGAAAAAAATGGGAAAGTTGTGTTTAAATATTATCCAAAGCAACAAAAGCTTATTTTTGGAAGAAAGGCAGAAAGGGGAACTGGAGAGATGGTCACTGTTAAGAGCACCAGCTGCTCTTGCAGAGAACTTGGGTTCAATTCTCAGCACCCACACGGCGGCTAACAACCATCTGTAACTCCAGTTCCAACACCACCCTCTTCTAACCTCCTCAGGCACTGCACAACACGGGTGCACTTACACACCTGCAGGCAATATACTCATATGCATAAAATAAAAATAATGTTAAAAAAAAAAAAAAGGCAGAAAGAACCTTCAGGTGAATGAGACCAAAGAAGCAACATAGGAAGCTGTCAACACAGGAGTGGGTCAGGGCATCTAAAGCAAGGAGCACACACCCATGATGGGAATGGAGTAGGGGGCAGGGTGGGGACCAGCCCATGGGAGCAAGAGTAAGGTCTGAGGTGGGGGAACTGAGGAAGGCAGCAAGACGAAACAGGCACCAGAAGTAAAGCTACTGCAGAGATCCAGCCATGAAGACAAGTTTGAGTGGCAAGGAGATGATGTCTATGCAAGAAGCCATATGGGGAGAAATACTGACAAGTGTGAGGCCAGCATGGACTACATAGCAAATTCCAAACCAGCCTGGACTACAGAGGTAAGACCAAAAAACCCCAAAGTTGGGAGGGTTCAAGAAGCCATAGGGGTGGGGTGGGGGAGCTGGAGAGATGGCTCGGTGGTTAAGAGCACTTGCTGTTCCTAGTACCTATGTGACGGCTAACAACTATCCATAAATCCAGTTCAAGGAGACCCAATACCCTCTTCTGGCCTCAGCAGACACTGCATGCATGAAGTGCATTTACATGTGTTCAGGTAAAACACTCATACACGTAAAAAAATAAATAAGCTGGGCATGGTGGTGCACATCTTTAATCCCAGCACTCAGGAGGCAGAAGCAGGTGGATTTCTGTGAGATCAAGGCTGCTTAGGCTTGGTCTACACAGTGCATTCTAGGCCAGCTGGAGATACAAGGAGCTCTTAAATAAAATAAAAACAAACAAAACACAAAGCAAAATAAGAAAAAAAAAACCAAAAAGCAAGAAAAAAAAACCTAAAAAGTCACGGGAGGATGGAGAAAGCAAGAGATGCAGAGTTTCCTCTGACCAATAAGGCCCAATGGAGAGACAGGCATGAAAGCTGCAGAGGTAAGGTGGCATATCACATAGGTTTCCTGTATCTTTTTCATCTGTGGAAAGAATCATGGGTCACTGCCCACATACTAAGTTTTAGGTGATACTGTTTTCAAAACCCAGCAGTTTTCACAGAGCAGCTCCTTAAAATTCTGACAGAATCTGGGGGCTGGAGAAATGGCTCAGCAGTTAAGAGCATTGGCTGCTGTTGCAGAAGACCTCAGCACCCACATGGCAGCTAAAACATTCATAACTTCAGTTCCAGTGGAATTTGACACCCTCTTCTGACCTTCTTAAGAAACACAGGACATGGATGTACTTACACACATGGAGGCAATACAATCATACACATTAAGTAAAATTCCAATAGAATACAATGAGTCACACGGACCCTGTCTCCAGAAAAACAGCACATATACAGATAAAAACCTGTGGCGCATGCCTGTAATCCCAGAACTCAGGAGACAGAGGCAGACAGATCTCTGTGAGTTCGATGAGGCCACCCTGGTCTAAAAGTGAGTTCCAGGCCAGCTGGGGGCTACAGGGAGACCCTGCCTCAAAAAGAAAAAAAAAAAAACACAACAAAAAAACCCCCAAAAACCTGTACTTGATTTTGAGGATTAATATGCAGAATATATGAAGAACTACAACTCATCAAAAGACCAAAAAAATCTAACTTAAAGATGGGTGGAGGACTTGAGAGACCTACCTAAACTGGCCAAATAAGGACATGAAAAGATTCTTAGTACCACTAATCATTAGGGCTGTGCAAATCAAAACTACAGGAGATACCACACCATACACATTAGAATGGCTACTGCTAAAAAACAAAGAACAAACAACACCAGAAAATACTGTGTCAAAGCATGTAGAGAAGTGTGAACCTCTGCACTACTTGTGGCAATGTAAAATGGTGTAACCACTATGGAAAACAGTATGGAGGTTCCTCAAACAATTAAAAATAGAGTAATCCAGTAGCTCCACTTCTGGATTGAAAACAAGATCTCAAAGACATTCCCAAACCCAGGCTCACTGCAGCATTATTCACAAGAGGCAAGAGGTAGAAGCAACTCAAATATCCACAAACAGATGAGTAGACAAAAGAAAACAAAAAACCAGTGTGAGATGCAGCCAATGGAATATTATTCAACCTTATAAAAACAAAGTCAAGGGTTCAGAGAGATAGCTCAGCAGTTAAAGAGCACTGGCTACTTTTGCAGAGGACCTGGGTTCAATTCCCAGCACCCACATGGCAGGTAACAACCATCCCTAACTAGAGGTCCAGGGGATCTGACACCTCTTCTGACTTCAGTGGGCACTATATAACATGGGTGCTCTTACATAAATGCAGGCACTCATGCACATAAAATTAAAATAATTTTGGGGGGGTCTTTTTGAAGCAGGGTCTCCCTGTAGCCCCAGCTGTCCTGGAACTCACTATGTGAACCAGGCTGTCCTTGAACTCACAAAGATCCACCTGCCTCTGCCTCCCAAGTGCTGGGACTACAGGCGTGTGCCACCACGCCTGGCTAAAATAATAAATTTTTAAAAATTAAAAAAAAAGTCAGGGCTGGAAAGATAGCTCAGTGGTTAAGAGCATGGGCTACTCTTGCAGAAGACCTAAGCTCAGTTCCCAGGACTCACGTGGCAGGTAACAACCATCTGTAACACCAGTTCCAGGTGATTTGATGCCTATTCTTATGGCCTCCTTGGACACTGCATGACATGGATGCACTTACACACAACCAAGGAAAACACTCATACAGATAAAACTTTTTTAAAGTGAAGAAAGTCAGCAGGACATGGTGGTGCATGCCTTTAGTCACAGCACCGGGAGGCAGAGGCAGGCAGATCTCTTTGAGTTCGAGGCCAGCCTGGCCTACATAGCCAGTTCCAGGCCAGCTGGGGCTACAGGGAGACCCTGTCTTAAAAAAGACAAAAAAAAAAAAAAAGGGGGGGGGGGAGGTATTACTGGGTGTAGTCGTGCACATCTGTAATCCCAGCACTTAAGAAGAGGCTGATACAAAGGGACCTCCCTGAGTTTAAGGCCAACCAGATCTACATGGCAAGACCCCCTCCCCCCACCTCTGGCATAATAAGCAAAAAAAAAAAAATTAAAAATAAAGAAATAGGGCTGGAGAGATGGCTCAGTGGTTAAGAACACTGACTGCTCTTGCAGAGGACCTGGGTTTGATTCCCAGCATCTACATGGCGGCTACAAACCATCCTTAACTCCAGTTCCAGGGGAATCCGAAACCCTCTTCTGACTTCGGTGACATTGCACAACATGGGTACATTTACATACATGCAGGCAATACACTCATACACATAAAATAAAAATAAAATATTTAAAAGAAAGAAAGAAAAAGAAAGAGAAAGAAAGAAAGAAAGAAAAAGAAAGAAAGAAAGAAAGAAAGAAAAAGAAAAAGGAATTCTGAGATTGAAATCGCTCAGTGATAGAGAGCTTGCCAAACATGGGGAAGGCCTAGGGTTTGATCCTTAATAGTACAAAAATTTTGGGCCAGGTGTGGTGGTGCAAACCTTTAATCACAGCACTTTGGAGGCAGAGACAGGAAAAAGGGAAAGAAATGGAAAGGAAAGGGAAGAAAAAGAAAAAAGAAAGAAACTGAAAATGCAACAATAGTTACCAAGGGCTGGGTAGCAGGGAAAACGGCTAGTTTTGGTTTGCAAATGTCCTCTAGATCAGCAGCACAGCCACATGCACACAGTTAACCATTTGTTGTACACTTAAAAATGGTTAAGGCCAGGCATGGTGGCACACACCTTTAATTCCAGCACTCTGGAGACAGAAGCAGGCAGATCTCTGTAAGATCCAGGATATAGCCTGGTTCATATAGTGAGTTCCCAGCCAGATTAGGGTATAGGAGACCCTGCCACACACAAAAAAATTAAGTTGGCAAATTTTATGGTTTGCAGTTTTTGGCCACAAGTAATAAACAACATTCAAGGGAGAAGGGAATAAACAACAAGGGAGAAGGGAAAGGTACCCAAGGCTTAAGGGGTACAGTAGCAGTCAGAGAGAAAAAGTTCACTCTGTACCATGCTGGACCCATGGACCAGTTGACTAAGACAAAGGAATCTGGTCACTCCAGCTGGGCTGGCTTTTCAAAGGGTAGGAGGAGAACCACTGGGCTCCCAGGGAGCAGTGCTGCAGGGAAGGCAAAGTCTGTGTGTGGAGGAAGGAACCAAGAGTGAACCCTAAGACCATGCCAAGTTGTCAAAGTCTATACCACTGCCTGATCCTGGAACAAGGCCAGAGGCCCTGGGCCACTGCCAAAGAAGAGTGAGGTGTCTGGAGGGACTGGTAATGTTCTCTATGGGCCCAGCTCCCTGATGCCACAATATCACTTCTTGACCTTCCACCTAGACCTCTGACTATGAAGGAAAGACTTCATAGGAAGAATAAGTTCAGAATCATCATCAACTGGACCATAAATGTTGGTAACAGGGTCATAGCCAAGACAAGCTGCCCTGACATTTTTAATTGAGAACCACTCCAAAGTACTATCTTAGTAAGGGAGGAGTTATAGACTACCAGATGATGAAGACATAGGAACTCAACACATGGCAAGGGTATCGAGTCTAACAAAAGACAGCTGGAAAGAATACCATCTTAGCTCCTCCACCCAAAGGAAGCATCTATCAGGCAGGACAGATCAGTAAGCTGGGAAACAAGGTCAGGTAATGCAGAGTGGGGAGGCCCAGGGCCTTGTGGGGAAGTGCCCCGGCCACCTCCTGAGCACTCACCGCAATGCACTGCCGCATGATGCAGCTCTGCTTCATGCGCCCAGGGCCTCCAAACTTCTTCATATCCTTGCAGAAGTGGCACTCTCCGCACTCGGTCCGCAGACAGGCCTCGCACTTGCGGCATCGCGTCCGGCGCCTGCGAGCTCCTGCAGTTGTCCGGTTGGCAGCCAACTTCACCGCAGAAGCCGGGCCCAGCTTGCCCTTGGGCCGACCCACTGCCCGGTTCTGGAGGGGAACAGATGGTACAAGTGAAATGGGATGCTGCAGAGGTGGCCAGGCACTCAGGAGATGGTGTCAGGATGAGCTATAGCCCCAGAAAAGGGATGCTAAAGTACTAAACCTTGATATCTCAGAAGGTAACCATATGGAGACAGGGGATTCAGAAGTAACTAGGTTAAAGAAAGTCATTCAGGTAAGCCCTAATCATATGACGGGGAAATCTGGACACTGGTAGACATGCACAGTGGGAACACATGTGAAGACACAGGGAGAAGTGGCCATGTGACTAGAATCTTGTCTACAAGCCAAGAAACACATAGGATTGCAGAGCAACCCCAGAAACCAGGAGAAGCAAGGAAGGGTCCTCTAGTTGACCCTTTGTAGCAAGCCTGATCTTGGACCTGTGGATTTAAGCACCCTTTTAGCACATCATTAGATAACTACTACAGGGAGCACCTTGCCTGTGTGGGCAGCAGCCCTGTCTACAGACCTTTGGGTCCTATGGAACAAGACAGGCCCCTTCCTACCACTCTGGTCTCCTGCATACAGTCATGCTGTGCTTCCTTGGAAAAGGGCCACAGGGCTACACAGTCTGCCCCTGACACCTCTACCAGAACCCCAGCTACTCTGTACTTTGCTGAGCAGCAAATGCGTAGGACCAGTTTATACACAGTTTTGGAAGCTTTCCCTGCTTTTCTGTGCTGGGCTCAGGGGCCTATCAATCATGAGAGAATCTGCCTCAAGCTAGCTTTTTCTGAGATGGGGCACAGGAGCACTGTCATCACAGGGATCTCAAGCACCACTACAAGACCATGAGATGCCCTGAAACCCAGAGACACTGGGAGAACAGGATGGTAACTTGCAGGGCCACTGACTACACTGACTCTCCCTAACTGGGCTTTAAGTATGTCTTTCCTGGCAACTTGGATAAAAAGAGAGCAAATCAAAAGAAAGCAGTACTCAATGCTCAACAATAAGGCAAGACAGCTACAGTTCTTGCCCCTAGTTCCCACTTCCTGGTCACCACCCCTAGAGCCTACAGCAAACCCAGGATGTATGGCAGAGTTGCTGAGCTAACTACTAGGGGCCACTGTCCATCAAGAATCAGAGGAAGGACCAGGTAGTGCTGTCCAAAGCATCCTTTTGCAGCATGAGTTAACTGGGGCAAGTTTAAATTTAGTCTCCCTGCTCATTTGGAAACCTACAGACCTACTGCTTAAAGTCACTTTCCAGGCAACTGCTCATCTTCAACATTCTTCTATAGTTTGTCACATTTGGTTCTCCACAGAAAATCCTATCCTGTTAACCCACAGGCCTGAAGAGCTGTTACTGTTCAGCCTGGTTAGCTTCAGGGACCCCTTCCCATGACACATAACTGCCCTGACTCCCCCAGGGCTGCTCAGGACATCCACCCACATTAGAAGAAAAGGTTACCTTTTTCCATTGACAGCCTCACTGCCAATCTCACATACTACACTCTTGGAGGCACTTTCCTAGTACCCCACAATATTCAAGAAAGCTGCTAGGCCTCTGCAGTCTCAAGTGCTCAAAAGAAAAGGTCTGAACCCAACTTCCTATTGTGACTTTTCTGGCCGGTGTACCCTCATCGCCCTTGTAGATGGGGAACAGGGATGAGCAGGGCCCCAGGCCTAGAGGGCCACTAATGGTCAACACAGTTCTCAACTTGTCTGCCCTCCCACAAGTCACTCTTCTTCCAAGCAGCCAAGGGTACCATAGACCTCCTCCCACTGTCCTTATAGTGAGGTCTGGGCTGCCTCTAGTCACACCCCTGAACAGGCCTACCATGTGCATACCTTTAGTGAGACACACCTGCCTATACACTGCATATGTCAGTTTAAGTTCAGGTCTGTCATCAGATATGTAAACCATAATCAATGTGCAGATCTTTTTAGATTTCAGAATGGCACACAGGGACTACAGACTTGAAAACTCAGCAACAGCCAAAGAGCAACACACAAATGCTGAGGAAGGAGCAATGGTGACAGGGATGGCCAACACAGTAGGTATTTTCTGAGTACCGTATGTAGATACTATGGTCATCATTTTACATATGATATGACTTGGCTTTCTAGTAATAACTCTGTGAGAGCTGCCTTAATGTTCCTATTTTTTCAGGTGAGAATCTGAAGCTATAGGTCAAGCGGCTCACCCAAGATCACAAAGCTTGCAGAGGAAATACTGGCTTCAAAGCCACACTCTAGACCTCCTTCAGATGCACAGTGAAAGTATGGCAGGCAACAGTACCACATAGTCCACAAGTGCCTCAGGCCCTCAGTATGAAGGTACATCAGAGAACAGAAGAGCAGAACAATGCCCAGGAAGGCATCTCCTCCCCACAACATACTGTGCTTTCTGCTTTTTCTCCGGCCAGGGGCCAGTGTCCTATTAACAGCTCACTTATCAAATTCCTGAATATAGCAATAATATGGGTAGCTATTAGCAGCCCTATCAGAGAATGACAGTATTTAGATCACTTACAAATTAGCACTCCAGCAACAAGGTCATTTATTGATCTAATTTAAAAAAACTTTTTGATCTCAGGCTGCCTTTAATTCTCCATGTAGCCAAGAGTGACCTCAAACTCCTGATCATCTTGCTTTTACCTCCTAAGTGCTGGGATTACAGGCATTTGCTACCATGCCTGGTTTATGCAGTGCTTTGTATATGGCAAGAAAGCACTCTACCAACTGAATTACATCCCCAGACCCACTTGCAGATCTAATTAGCCCAGGATCCACATCATTAGCTCACTATAAAACCTTAGGAAAACCTGAACATATATATTTCAGTGGTCCAATACCTTTCTCCAGGGCAATTCCAAAAGCATTTCCCTTAAAAGAAATGTCTCACTATGTAACCCTGTCCGGCTTGAAACTCACTATGTAGACCAAGCTGGCCTCAAGCTCACAGAAATCTACCTGCCTCTGCCTCCCAAGGGCCCAGCTTGATAGCACACATGGCCAGCCTGGTTTACATATTGAGTTCCAGGCTACAGGGAGACCCTGTCTTAAAAAGACCAAGCTGGGGGCTGGAGAGATGGCTCAGCGGTTCAGAGCACTGATTGCTCCTGCAGAGGACCCGGGTTCGATTCCCAGCACCCACATGGTGGCCATGAACCATCCTTAATTCCAGTTCCAGGGGAATCCAAAGCTCTGATCTCTGCGGCAATGCAGGACACGGGTGCACTCACATACATGCAAGCAATATACTCATACGCATAAATTAGAAATAATAAACTATAAAAAAAAAAAAAACAAGCTGGGCGTGGTGACACACGCCTTTAATCCCAACACTTGGGAGGCAGAGGAACTCAGATCTCTGAGTTCAAGGCCAGCCTGGTCTACATAGTGAGTTCCAGGACAGCTAGGGCTACTGGGAAACCCTGTCTCAAAAAGACCAAAAAAACAACGTGTGTGCCATCATTCCTGGCAAAAGAAAAATACTACCACGGATTGGAAGACTTAATACTGTTAAAATGGCTGTATTCCCCAAAGTGATCTATGTACTGATTTATTGCAATCTGAGGCTGAAGGGTGCAACTCAGTGATAAAGCACTGGCATAGCATGAGTTTGATCCCAGCACTGAAAAAGTATAATAAAATAAAATAAAATCTCAACTGTGTATGAGGGTATTGCTTGCATGTGTGTAAGCGCACCCATATTGTGCAATGCAGAGGCCAGAAGAGGGCACTGGAGCCCCTGGAACTGGAGTTGTGGGTGGTTGTTAGCTGCCATGTGAGTGCTGGGAACTGAGCCTAAGTCCTCTACAACAAGAGGAGCCAGTGCTGCTGAGCCATCTCTCCAGCCCCATAAATAGCTAGTTCTTGAAAAAAAAAAACGAGGGGCTGGAGACGGCTCAGTTATTCACAGCACTGGCTACTCTTGCAGAGGCCCCGGATTCAGTTCCCAGGACCCACGTGGCAGTTAAGAACCATCCACAACTCGAGTTCCAGGAGATCCAATACCCTCTTTTGGCCTCCTCTGGGCACTACATGCATGAGTGCACTTACATACATGCATGCAAAACACTCATACACACACACAAAAGAGTATATAAGCCAGGTATGGTGGTATGCACCTTTAATCCTAGCACTTGGATTAGAGGCAAGAGGATTTTTGTGAGTTCAAGGCCAGCCTGATAGTGAGTTCCAGGCCAGTCAGGGTTACATAGTGAGACCCTATACCAAACAACAAAACAGAAAGCAAAACAAACAAAAAATTATACACACAGGTTAGAGAGATGGATCATTGATTAAGAGCACTGGCTGCTCTTCCAGAGGATCTGGGTTCAATTCCCAGCAACCACAAGGTGGCTAACAACATCCATAACCCCAGTTCCAGGGGATCTGATGCCCTCTTCTGGCCTCTGCTGGCATTGTATGACACAGGTGCATTTTCGTACATGCAGGCAAAACACTCATACACACACACACACACACACACACACACACAATTAACAAGTACACACAAAGACAGACAAGACACACACACAGGGCCAATAAGCACAAGAAAGGATGCTTGACATCAAGAGCATTAAGAATATGCAATGTGCACTGGGATTCATTCATTAACCCCCTCATTCACATATTCACCCACGCACTCAAGTGTTTTCTGGCTGTGAATTATGAGCCAGATTCAATGTGAAATGCTGGGACTACCAAGATTAGTAAGACATGTAGCCTACTCACAAAGACATTACAGTCTAGAAGGAGAAAGAAGTGAAACCACATAAAAGCAACATGATGATACCATGAGCTAATGTTGACTGAAATGCTAGTTAGTCTTTTTAATATTTGTACCAGCAGCCAATGAGGTAGGAATTATTATCTCCATTTGCAAAGAGGAAACTGAGGAACAGTGCAGTTAAGTAATCTGACCAGTGTCACACTACTGACAAATGAGAACATTAAAATACAAGCCTAGGTAATAGCTCTAAAGCGTGGATTCTGGTGTGCAAACCCAGAAGAGATGCCCATAGCCTGAGA